TGGTGATACTGAAGAATTGCGGAGTATATAATACACCAGTATGTATCACTAAAACTAATTTTTATTATTATTATTACTATCATTGTTATTATTATTTTTATTGTGATGATTATTATTAACAAACCAAGCCTAATTCAATATTTTTATAAATACAATCTACGAAACTCTAACTTTTTGAGAAGAAGCCTTCATAGCTTCGAAATACAATTAATAAATTTATATTTAACTTAATGAAAGAAAAATCATTTTGAAAAAAATATGGAGTAAAATACTTAAGGGCATTCTTCCTAAATTGCCATTCGAAAATTTTTATACCGAAGCGCCGTCTGGTGTCAGAATGTAGCACTAAAATTCTTAAAATTGAATTAAATTAATAATTAATTTTATAATTAAGAAAAAAATAGGGGAATGAATTTGGTCGTTAGAGAAATTAAAATGCTACAATTTGATAATAATTAAAGATAGTAAAATTTAAAATATACATACATAAAATGAAAAAAAGTAAATTGTAGGTTAAGCATGGGAAAAAAACGTCATGTGTAAAATAATTATTTAAAAAAAAACTATTTCCATTCATTAGAAAAGAAATGATCAGCTCCGTGTAGAATTTTTAGGAGATTTTAATCACCATTTGCTCAAATCTTAAAAAATTATATTAATTAAATAGTCTAGACTATTAGCTAATGCAGCTGCAATAAATAAACATTACATTTATAATTTTTTAAGATTTGAGCAAATGGTGATTAAAATCTCCTAAAAATTCTACACGGAGCTGATCATTTCTTTTCTAATGAATGGAAATAGTTTTTTTTTAAATAATTATTTTACACATGACGTTTTTTTCCCATGCTTAACCTACAATTTACTTTTTTTCATTTTATGTATGTATATTTTAAATTTTACTATCTTTAATTATTATCAAATTGTAGCATTTTAATTTCTCTAACGACCAAATTCATTCCCCTATTTTTTTTCTTAATTATAAAATTAATTATTAATTTAATTCAATTTTAAGAATTTTATTACATTCTGACACCAGACGGCGCTTCGGTATAAAAATTTTCGAATGGCAATTTAGGAAGAATGTCCTTAACATGAATCAGAAAGATCCTGGTTCGATTCCCGGTTTGGCTCAATACTCCCATAATCGTTTAAAAATTATATTTTTTATTCATTTAATTAAATGTATAGTTTTTTTATCGCACCTCAAAATTGGAAAGATTTCTTCTCAAAAAGTAGGTGTATCGTAAACTATATTCTTTTCAAAATTTTGGATTGGTTTAGCTTATTAATAATAATAACTTCACAATCGTACCAGACCAATCTTGTGTTGGAACATTAATTAAAAATTCAATTGTAATTATAACTTTGATTTTAGTGTTTTGAAAATAAGGATTGCTGTTCCGATAATTGTACATCACTTGTGTCTAACAATATAAGCATTTGCACAAAAAATCTAAAAGAAAATCTTACTCTGAAAAGTAGGATTAAAAGAAATTCGTGTACTTCTGGCGGAAAAGTAGTAAGTACATTTTGAAAAATTTATAGTTATAGTAGAAAATAACATTAGAACAATCTCAAATCCAGCTTTCATTAAATATAATTTTATTAAAGTAGGTATAATTTTATATAGTCAGATCTAAACTTTATCTGGAGAGCTATCGATATCATTAGGTACTTTACAGAAAGCTAATATTAGTAATTCAGGAAGGGATTGTAACTGAAAGAATGTAAGTCTTTATTATTTGTCGGGCAACATTCTATCTACGATAGTTTGACATTAACTACGTAATTCATCAATGATAGAATCAGCTTAGATAGATCCATAATGGCAAGTAGCAAGGGAAAAAAATTAATAGAAACTTGTCGAAATTTTTTTGTAAAATATCAATTCAAATTTTTCAGGAGAAAATGGTTTTTAAAAAGTAATTTTTGTAGTTATAATCGCTCAGTTCTCACTCTTCTCCGTCTTGTTGAATTGTAATAAGCAGTAAAATCTCAAGCGATATTTTTTTGATAGTATATTTTTATCAAACAAGTGTTTCTAAAGCTAAATGCACTATCCGAAAAAGTTTTCTATAGTATTGAAAGATTTAATTGCTAATTACTATCGAACTAACAATAACTAAAATTCTTAATTTTCTTTAAATTAATTTTTTTTTTTTTTTTTTATTAGTGTTTAAGAAACAACAACTGTTGTTCCAATCTTTGTATTCAACCAAGTTACAACCTAATGGGTTATTGTTTAGGATCACGAAAAAATTATTAACACTATGATGAAGAAGATTCCAAACATCATGTGCTAGTTGTACTATTAAAGTAACTTATAATATATAACATAAATAAGAAAAAAAATTTTTTTAAATCACATATTTCCTCAAACAACATGCACACAGTGATTCTACTGTTCTATGGCTATAAACTGTAATTTAAGTGGTTATTTAACAAACTTTGTACACTATAATCTTGAAAATGGAAATAAAAATTTTCACTTATTCCTTTAATAATTTTTTTCTATTTTTTTCAATTATTGGTAAGATTATTTCGGATTTTAGCAGTTTCTTAAATTTATCTATAAAATTTATGATTGCTTTGTTGTTTATTATCATAAATTTATTTTCCTTCAGAACTAAATTCTAAAAAAATATTAGAATCTAAATTTTTTTCTTTTCTCTGGACAAACTAAAAATTTTCAAAAAATCGAGTTTGAATTTTTCCACCTGACTATCACCTCAATAGAACGCAGATGCGGGAGCTTTTCATAACTTTTGAACAGATTGACCGATGAAGATGCGATTTGAGATTTATACAATATAGATTTTGAGACATAACAACTCAAAATATTAATCATGTTAACTAAAATATTTCTTCATGTCATCACCAAAAAACAATAAATATTTAAACCGTTCTATAGTTTTCAAATTGATTAATGTTTTAGAAAACATAATTCACATTTATCATTATTAATGTTTTTGTCTTTTACTTTGACCAAAATTAGAAATGATATAAGTAATGAAATTTTATGATATTAAAATAAAGAGATGTGATAATTTTTTTATTTACATGTAACTTTTATCATTAATCTGGTGTTTTTTTTATTTTTAGGTAGAATTCTTTAGAAATCTAATTATAGCCGGTCTTATGTCGCAATTTCAAAAAAATTTTGTTAAGTTAATGTTTTATTCCGTCGAGTTATGCTGAAAAATATCATTGTCTCAAAAGTTTATAAATAAATGTATGTGATATAACGCATCATATCAGCAGGATTGTGTTTGAAAATTTTTTTCATTTTAAAAAAATTTTCAATTTCGTCAATTTTATGAAAATAATTTTCCAGATGTAAAAGATAGATAAAATCTATTAAACTTATCTTAAAGTTCACCTATTTCACCAAGTTCATCAATTTAAGTTATTAATTATTTAATTTTGATAATTTTTTTAATTCATTCCTCGATTTTGAAAATTTGAAAAAATTTTTTAATGAATGTAGGGTCTTTTTCCTTAAATGATCTTCAAGCCGTAAAAGATACCTCAAATCTATCAATTCTATGTTAAAATTCATATAATTATCTTCAATTTGAGCTATTATTTTTTTATTCTTTTTTCAATTTATTTCGTAGTTCGATAAATTAAAAATAAATTAATTTTTGACTTTTATCGTCAAATAATTTTCATGTATTATAAATCTTATTTTTTAGCAATTAGATTTGTTTTTCATCAATATTCATCCCAAAAATCTACCATCTATGTCGGGTGTGGCCGAATAGCGCTTTTTTATTTTTTACTAAACAGTGTAATTTAAAAAATCAATTGTCAAATAAAAAATCTTCATTTTATTTTATTTATCAAAATTTTTAGACCCTGAAGCCTTAGCTCTCTAAGGGCCTTACATATAAATTAATACATAATAATAATAAAAATTATAAACAGTAATGGAAATGATAATAATGAAGTAAAAATAAATAACGTTGTCTCAAAGCAAAGTCCATCAAAGTAATTAATTTAATGACTCTAAATCATAAAACAAAAGAGATGAAAAAATATAAGTTTAAACATAAATAATTAGTAATTTTTGAACAGTAATGTAATGACAATTATATAACGTCTTTATCGGCAAAAAACTTGTAATACTTTGATCGAAATTCATTGCGATTGTAATGTTAAATATTTTAACAATAACGAAAAAATCTACAATTTTACTTTTTACACTAGTGTCACCATCTGCGAGACAGTGACAAAGATAGTTGAACGGTTAAGTTTCGGCGGAAAACTATGAATTCATAAGAAAACAGAGAAAACACATGCAAAATTAATTATTACGTGATTAAAAATTATATTAATGTTTATTTGTCTAGCGAACTTATATATTAAAACGATATTTATCTTGCTACAGCTGCAATTTCTCACCTTCGTTGAAAATCTTTTAGATATAGTAGATCCCATAATAAAATTGAGATGAAATGTATGTGGCATCAAACTATTCGTAACGTGATTGGTCGAATATATCATAAGCATAAAAATATATGCAAACTCTATAGTCAAGGCGCGCGCTTGCGCGCGTAAATTCAAATTCTAGTTGAAGATTAAAAATGAATAAGTTTGGTGGTGACGAGGTGTTTTCAGTTTAGGGTTTGCCATCAGAGGCATCACCGATTCACCGAGGAGACTAGACACACTAGACCGCTACAAATCGGAAAACAGAACAGAGAGACCTCTATTTCAAGTTTTCAAGTCGAACTCACATATCGATAGACATCCTCTCGATGAATATCGATTCAAGTATTTTTGGCAGCTCGAAAGTTAAAATGGCGGAGTTACAACGATAAGAATGTTATTAGTCATTCATTTATGAACGACTGCGGGACTAAATGTCAGGTGATTTCGTGACAAGATTGTTTTTAAATATTTTATAACGATAATTATTCATAATTATTTAACATCACTTATTTTTTAAATTTACAAGTAACGATTAAATTACTCCTTTAAAATAAATTATCAAAATGGGGATATTCTCAACTTCATCGCCCTTTGACGCTGATGTCGGTAAGTAATACAATTTTTTTATTTCATCATTTTGTGATTCTTTATTTGTTTATTAGTTTTTAATAATTATTATTTTTATTCATTATTATCAATTATCAATTATTATTCTTAAACTGAAGAATGGAAAAATTTTTTTGTAACTTTTCCATGACCTCATACGAATTGACAAAAATGTCACTTTAATACTTAGATGATACTCGTTAAAATTAATTTCATTACTTATCAATTACTAGTAAGTGACATTTCGTAATAAAACCATGATTAAATTCTTTTGTAGTGATAGTACGCTGTATTACAATAATAATAAAAATAATAATAATGAATTGATGAATTGATTACATTTATAATACTTTTTTTATTTATTTTACAGATAAAGCAACCAATGAAAATAATACAACAGAAGACTGGGGTCAAATAATGGAAATTTGTGATGCTGTTGGGAATTCATCGCAAAAAGCTAAGGATTGTTTGAGATCAATTGTTAGAAGATTAAATGCACCAGATCCGCATATTGTAATACAAGCTATTACTGTTAGTATTTTTTTTTCTCAAATAAAAATTCATTCTAATTGACTATTTTTAACAGTAGAAATCTAAATCATTTTTGAAGCAACAAATGATGCTGAAAATAATAGACAAATAATAAATCTAACAATTTTTAATATTTTCTTAACAAGTAAATTATTGCAAAAAAAATTGGACATTTACGCATCGTAAATGTAAAGGCCCTTATATTCATGCTGCATAGATTTATCAGGATTTTTTTAGGTTTGAATAGACACTTCTAAAAAAATTTGACGAAATTTTCTTCAATATTTATTTATCAGATTAAACAGACACTTGATTATTTTTTGGTTTTATTTAAAAAGTAAATTAGAATTAAGATAATTTTTTCAAAATTATGTTGTTAATTTTTCAAAATTTTCAATTTGTACAATTTTTTTATGATCATTTAATTGTTGAAAAAAAATTCGTAAAAATTTTCTAATGTCTGTTAATTGCAATAAAATAAATTCTACTGTATTTTATGAAAAAAAAAAAAAAAAAAAAAAAAAAAAATTCTTTTTTTATTGGTCACGAATAATTTCTTTGCGATAACATGTATTTTATTAATAAAAACAGATTGACAGTTTTCTGCTATAGCCAGTATCATATATCAATATAGTGTTGGTAATGAAACTTAATATTTTGTTTCCAGCTTCTAGATGCGTGTTCCAGTAATTGTGGCAAAACTTTCCATTTGGAAATAGCATCAAGAGATTTTGAGAGTGAAATAAGAAAATTATTGTTGCGGTCACAGCCAAAGATTGTTGAAAAATTGAAAGTTTTATTAAAAAAATGGGCCGAAGGTGATTTCAAGACCGACCCGCAACTTAATCTCATTCCGACTTTATATAATAAATTAAAAAGTGAAGGTCATGATTTTTCTTCGTTATCTGAAATGGTAAATAATTTACTTTTATTAAATACAATACATAAAGATATTTTTTTTTAATATTAATACCATTTTTTTTTTTTTAAGCCAAAACACTCGAGTGCTTCAGCATCTTCAGCTGCTTCAAAAGAAGATCAAGATCTAGCCAAAGGTACAAAATAATTGAATATAATTTTAATAAAATAACTTATTATTATTAATATTATTATTATTTTTCAGCTATCGAGCTGTCTTTAAAAGAAAACAAACAACATTCTTCCGCGTCTCATAGCTCACCAGCATCTAGTAAATTGGCAAGTCTTTACCCTAGCGTTAATTTAGCTTCAAATTCGAGCCCTCCTGAGCGTCGAAAAGTACGTGCTCTATATGACTTTGAAGCTGCCGAGGACAATGAACTCAGTTTCATTGCCGGAGATATAAGTAAGTTCATTCAATTATTATCTAAAATAAATTAATCGAGGTTTTTATTGTTTTTCTAATACAAAAATTAAAGTAAAAACTTGAATTCAGTCTTACTAGTATTAAATAATTAATAAACTATATCGAATTTCTGTTTCAGTACACATACTAGATGATTCGGATGCGAATTGGTGGAAAGGAGCAAAAGGAAAAATGGAAGGTCTTTTTCCATCAAATTTTGTTACTGCTGATTTATCAGTTGAACCTGATCACATCACAAGTAATTAATGAATTATTTCATCACTTTTAATTTTAAAACCATAAATCATTGACAACAATTTTTTTCAGAATTAGAACAAGGAACAAAAAAAGCTGTGCAATTTGCTGAAGAAGTTGAAGTTAAAATGCTGAAACGAGAACCTGAAATAGTAGAGGTTGATATTGATGAGACTAAAATTGATAGACTTTTACATCTTTTACATGAAGCTGACCCTCAAAGCGACACAACTGATCCACCGGAGATGTTGGATCTTGAAGGTAAATTTGTTGGTTCTGTTAATTAATCCAACGATAACTGATCACTGACATGAACCACTCATGTCCTTTGATTTCAATAGATTTTAAGTATAAATTGACTGAAGAAAAGTAATCCAGGTCTTCGGTGTTTTTATATTAGAATAAAATAGTTATTTTTTTTTCTAAGTTAAATTTACACTGAAAAAAAAAAAAATTAGAAAAACGGTTCATCCTAAAGGCCATCCCTGCAACTTCCCGCTCATTTTGTACTTAAACGCTTCAAACTACACATTACGTTTTTGAGCTCTTCGAGCTCAAAAATATTATTTTTGTGTCAATTTGAGCTCGAAACTAATAGCAGTTTAAAGACACAATTTTTTGAATTTTCAAACGGCAATAACTTTTGAATGAATGAACCGATTTTCACGCGGTTCTCCATGAAAAATTTTCAAGTTTAAATCGATCGAGCCATGAATTTCGAAGTTATTACAAAAAAAACACTTTTTTCGATTTTTTTCGACAACGATATCTCACGAACGCATCAACCGATTCTAACGTTTTTGGTGGCGATCGATGGGGGTTTTCAAGGTTAAGAGCTGATTAGTTTTTGAGACCGATCGGTTCAGCCAATTCGGAGATATTAAAAAAAAATATAAAAAAAACAACTTTTTTTTTCACTTTTTTTGCATTTTCTCAAAATCTACCGGTCCGAATCGGTTCAAATTTTCAGGAAATCTAAGTTTAGTGAAGCCCTTTCGAATGACACCAACCGCGATGAAATCGGTCAAGTCGTTCAAAAGTTCCAAGAGGTTTACACACACACACACACACACACACACACACACACACACACACACACACACACACACACACACACACACACACACACACACACACAATGAAAACTCGATTTTTGTAAAACGGGGTGAAAACAATAACTTCCCGATTTTTGAAAATCTGAGATTTTTAGCGGGAAGTTAAAAATAACTTGAATCAAGAGAAAAATTCTTGAACCCAGAAAATAATTTTGAAGAATTTCATTGAATCAAGACGAAAACTTCTTATATCAAGTAAAATTTACTTACAAAACAACAAAAAATTCTTAGTTTGAGAATTTTTCTACTCAAATCAAGAATATGAAATTCTTCAAAATTATTTACTTGATTCAAGTTAATTTTTTTTCTGTGTAGTATTATTGCAAAGGTCATGACCTGAATTTGTGCTTTTTAAAGGTTTCATGTGGTTTTCAGCGATACTTACTTTATTATGATAACTTATCAGAGTAGTTCTAAATAGATTCTAATTTCATGTTAGATAAAATTTTTTAATTTCTTTTTGTTCATGTGAATGTAATTATATGTCAAGTAATACATATAATTAAGAGAATGAGATCATTTTATGACGGGCATAGCTCTATTATAGAATGGGTTACTATAATAGAGATTGAAATTTTCTATCATCAGAAAGGCCGTAAAACTCACGTCTTTTTAAAGTTTGATATTTTTTTCATCAATAATCAATTTATAATCTAAGTAATTAAGATAACAAGGAAAATTTTGTGACGGATATATCGATACTGCTGAATAGCAGTATTAGAATTAATACGTCGTATCCCACAAAATTTGACATATTGACTTTTTTTGATAAATAGAATCACAACAATATTATACAAGTCATATTAATAATTTAAAATCAAATAGTTTAATAACTATTTTTCAATGAATATTTTCATTCGTCGAATCCCATTCAATCAATGTTAAAAATGAACGTTTTTACTGTCTGCTGTAAAATTTTCTAAATTTATAAGATACGACGTATTAGAATGGCAGTATCCATATTTTTGTTTTAAAAGAAATTTTTATAGTTAAATTTGATATCACCAGAAAGGTCTTAGCATGAATTTGTGCCTTTTCAAAATTTTATATATTTTTTGGTGATAGTAAATTTTTTATGTTAAATTTTTGGAGGAGTTTTGAATAGTTTGTTGGTTCTATAAATTTGTTCCGTCACATTTTCCATTAAATTATTGATAATTAATCTTGTAATAGCAATATTATTTTTCAAATTTATTTCCAAAGCACCTAAACTATTTACATTGTGTTAAAAAATATCAAAAAATCATGAAGTCAAAGTTCTTTTATTTATAATTTGTTATTCTCACATAGTAACTGCAGGTTGTTAAGTTAAACACTTAAAATATACTGAATTTTTTACTTTCTTTATCAAAAAAATACTAGGTTTGATTGAATTTATAAACTCTCAAAAGATATTTAAATAATAATTTTATTTTATTTTATTTTATAGAGCAAGTAACTGCAATGGGTCCTCTAATAGATGCAGCTCTAGAAAAAGTTGACAGACGACATGCTCAGTTGACTCAATTAAGTTCTGACTTGGTTGATGCTCTCAATCTTTATCATACTCTAATGAGAGAGCCGACTATCACAACCCCATACAATACACTTTCAAAAATGCCACCTCATATGAATGTTTATCCTTATCCAAATCAACCGCCTCAAGTAAGTAATAAAAATAATGATACTGAATTTAACAGAAATTTAATAATTTTTTAGATTTTAACAACTAAATTATAATAAAAAAAATTCCACATGTAGAAATTTTAGAAAATTATGAGTGCGAATTTAAAAAAATTTTTGTTTTTATATTAATTAGTTTGTTATAAAAATTCCAAGAGCTGTCAAATGTCTGTTAATTTTCGTATCATTAAAAATAACTTATAAAAAAAAAACTTTGGACAGATATTTAATAAGTTTATAACTAATGCTTATCTCCAGATGTATAATGGAATGATGCAACAGCAATCGAATTATAATCCCGTCCCTGGATTGCCCCCGGGAGCTTATCACCCTAATATGTCAGGCATGCCCCCTGAGTACATGAATCACAATATGGCTGGGATGCCGTTACCGCAACAGTATCACATGCCACCCGCTCCACATCAGCATCCACCGCCAAGTGGACATCATCCTGGTCCCCCTGGTCCACCAGTTGGTGTTCCGCCGCATTCAGTAGTCACTCAGAATCATCATCCAGGTCACTCAGCAGTTGCTGCACGTCCAATTCAGCCTCCAGGTCCGCAATTAGTTCATCAACAAGCTCCGCCGACTCAAACGCTTCCTGTGGGTCATCAAGGACATCCTCAAACTCATACTCAAGGATCTACTTCAGGAACAGAACGAACGAGTCTATCGTATCAATCTCAGGGGTGAGGAAAAATCGAAATTTTTATTTTCGCATGTAACTTCTATCAATTTTGAGATTTGTATTTGAAAATTTTATATTAATCTTTTATTACTGTTTTTGTTGAAAAGTAATTTTTTTATACTCGGTTGAACAATAAATTAATCGTCCAATTATTGTCAATTGATGTTATTATTTTTTCTTCATTTTTTATTGGATAGATTCTTAATTCATTTTACAGTTTATTAAAGCTGTAGAATTTAGCTGAATTTTGCACTCATATTAAAATAATTTTAGTATGTTATTAACTTGAAAATCGAGTAAGTGTGATTTTTTATTTGTTATCTCGTAATAAATTCGCTGAAAAAAAATTATGAGACGAAAAAAAAAATTTTTTTCAGAAGGTCCAAGGTTTAGTTTTAAGATTTTTTCATTGTAATATCTAATTCCAAATGAAGAAATAGAAATAGCGAGTCAAAAAGACGTTTTCAAAAACTTAAATACATTTTTTACAAGAAAAATTTTTTTAATAGATTTCATAAAAATCTAACTATTGTATTTGTCCTCATGAAGTAACTTTTAAAAAATTTTGCTATATTTCGACTTAACTCGACGAGCTGAGTCTGAAAATACATATGGTTCAAAAGTTTATATATGCTTGTATATATAATATTTATAGACGATTATGAAGGTGAAGTTCAAACATGAGATTCGATTGGAAGACGTCGAACACGCTACATGCGATATATCTCTCAGTGCAATTTATAGTGATTTTTATGCAATAATAATCTACAAAGTGCCCACATTGATTTGTTTTGGCAACAAAACAAAATTCCAACACACATTAAAGAAATAATTTTCAAAATTCAGACTGAAAAAGTTAATTAATTACAAAATAAAAAACTAACCTAAAATAAATCATGAGCGAGACAAAATCAGCAATTGCGGACAACACAAAACGCAAAAGAGAAGACCCACAGAGCCATCTGAATGGAACTGAAAACAACGTCTCACCAAAAACCCACAACCGCTATAATAACTTTAGCAAAGCTCTCTTCGTAGTTCTAATTACCTACGATGACAACAAGGGACAAAACAGACCCAAAAACATCGGCAACCTACACCCAATGGACGTTGGACGAGTACTAAGAAACAAAGATGCAGCTATCAAAAGAATTGATAGAAAAGGAGCAAACTTAATTCAAGTAACCTATAACAACGCCTTAGAGGCAAACAACTTGATTGAAAACCAAAAAGAATGGCTCCATCAAAACTGGCTTGCTTACATCCCCGACTGGAAAACTACCAGAATCGGAGTCGGAAAGGGAATAAAAACTTCCCTCACAGAAGAACAAATCAGAGAAGGCCTGAGCTGGGACCATCAACCGATAAAAATAATTCGCATTGAAAGATTCACGAGACCTCCACCTAGAAGCAACACATCAAACATTCAACAACGAATCCCGACCGAAACGATAAAATTCGTTTTTGAAGGCGAAAGATTACCAACTCAACTAAAAATTTTTAAAACAATAATCAAAATAACACCCTTTGAACCAAGACTCAAACAATGCCGCAATTGCCAGCGACTGGGACACCTCGAAAAACAATGCCGAGGAAAAAAACGATGCCCAATTTGAAGAACATGAAGAAAAAGACTGCGACAAAAACAAAACTCACTGCGCTAACTGCAAAGAACAACATCGAGCTACGGACAGAAATTGCAGAATCAGAGTCAACATGATAATAAATAATAAAATAAGTTCCTATATGAATATAAGCAAAATCGACGCCCGCAAACTAATCAAGCACGGCCTAAACACTCTCGAAGAAGTGAATAAATGGATCAAAATTCAACCAAAAGGAGAGGACAACTGGATATTTCCAAATAATCACACATTAACCGCCTGGCTACCAAGCACATGGCAACAACTAATCAACTTACAAAACGGAAATGAAAAAACTCCCACAAAAAACAAATCCGGGAATATGCTAAAAGTAAGAAGGAAAATTCGACGATCCAACGATTACCGAAGTGATGACACCCCGCAGGTCCTGCAGGATGAATACCTGAGTTCGCATGAAGAACACTCAGAGAATAACCAAATGGAAGAGACAGAAACAAAAGACGATCTCTTAACACAGCAATCTACAATCCTAGCATATACTAACGAGGGACTAGTAGCAACAAACCTAGTAGCACTGAAATTCTGCCAGGATACCCAAAAGACATTCCCACCAACGGATCCACCAAACAAACTTTTCAGTAATGAAAATACACACCAAATAAACCCAACAACGTACAATCAATTAAGCCAAAGACCAAGCAACAACGAAATAACGGATACGACGGACAAGGAGAACCTCCTGAACGTCTAACCCAAAACCAACGATACAATGGCCCAAGACAACCCCAAGATGAGAATAGCTCAATGGAACTGTCGCGGCTTAAGAAACAAATCTCACCTCATACCTAGCATCAGCACATGCAATGATATATTGATGCTATCAGAAACTTGGCCAACAAACGACACACAATACGGTATATCCAAAATGAACTTAATCAGGAAAGACAGAGAACACAGAATAGGCGAAGGCGTAGCAGTAGCAATAAGAAAAGGCTTACCTTATGAAGAAGTCACACTAGACAACCCCATCTTCAACGACGAAGACTTTGAAATAGTGGCCGCAAAAATCACCCTACACAACAAAAAATTAACAGTAACAAGCATATATACCCCACCAAATAAACGAATTAACTTATTACGTTGGAAAGCTCTATTACAAGAGCTTCTCAACTTAAGCAGAGAAGACCCCATCATAATTGGCGGAGACTTCAACACTCACAATGAAAGCTGGGGTAGCACAGGAATATCTGAATCTGTCACAAATCTTGAAACTGCAATAGAAGACCTGGAACTATTTGTAATTAACAACGGAAACCACACCTATATAAACCATAACCACGGCAATAATGTCCTAGACCTAACCATAGTTAACTAAACCTTAAAAGCCAACTACACATGGGAAACCACCGACTCTACACTAAACAGCGATCATATTATCATTCAAATAACCATGAAAAATGCTCCAGAAGCCATAAAACAAACCCGCCCACAAATACGCACAAACAAAGTCGACTGGGGAAAATTCCAGAAAAAAATAACTAACGCCATGCTAGACGAACAAATACAACAGAATGACCACCTAAAAACATACTCTACTTTCTGCGACATAGTTAGGAGAGAACTAATAGCAAATGGCGGAAGAGAAACAAACAAAAATCAAAATCCATCAAAACAAAAGGAAAACAATGACAAATCAAAAACATGGTGGAACAAAGACTGTGATGAAATCATAGAAAACAGAAAGAAGGCACTAAAAAGCTACAAACAAGATCAATCGGAAGAAAATTGGGAAAACTTGCAAACAGGAGAAACTCCAAAAGAATGGATGAACGATGACATCTGCCTCATTCCAAAACCAAACAGCAACTCCTTATGACCCATAACTCTGGCATCTTGCCTCCTAAAAGTCTTTGAAAGGGCCTTTTTGAACCGATTCGAATACTTCATGGAAACAGAAGAACTTATCCCAAAGACACAATTCGGTTTCAGAAAAGGAAAATCATGCCAAGATAACATAGCCATGCTGACAACAGAAGCATACAACGCCTTCGCAAAAAAAAAAATGATTGGCCTATTACTTATTGACTTCGAAGGTGCATATGATAACATGGACCCTCAAGAACTAATAAACATCATAGATCAACTCAAACTACCACTGAGAATAGTCAAGCTTATAACGAACTTAGCTGGCGAAAGAACAGTGAACTTCTACCGAAACGGGAAAAAAATAACCTGGAGAAAGATTAAGAAAGGAGCAGCACAAGGAAGAGTTTCGACAACCATATCGGGCAAAAATGCACTGTAGGCATGTACGCGGACGACGCAGGACTTTACACTGTTGCTAACAACGAACAAGAATGCATAAACAATCTAGAAGACGGACTCAGACACCTTCAACCCTGGCTCGAAAAAATAAAACTCAAAATATCAAAAACCAAAACAAAATTCATGATACTAAGCCGGAAAAAAAGACTACAAGGCAACACTGCAATAAGAATAGACAATACCATAATAAATAGATCAGATACAGCTAGATTCCTGGGAGTAACACTAGACACCAAAATGAAATGGAAACCTTTCATCAATGAAATCAAAAGAAACATTACGAGAAGCGTCGATGTCATGAAAGCGCTAGCTAGGAAAGCATGGGGAGCCCATCCAACCACCTTACTTCAAGTCTACAAAGGTTTAACGAGAACTAGAGCAGACTGGGCATGCTTTTGCACACAATCGGCCTGCCAAACACTAAAAAAAGAAATAGAAAGAGGCCAAAACGCCGCTCTCAGAGTCGTCCTAGGCTGCTTTCCATCTACACCGACGGTAGTCTTACGAGACCTAGCGAACCAACCAACAGTCGAAACAAGAGGAAAAATTCTAACCAGCAGATTTTTAGCAAGGACATTCACTTCAAAATCTCATCCCCTAAACCAGAAACTGAAAGAAGCCAATCATCTTTGGGATAGCAAACGAATGAGAAAAACCGGCGTATCATTTCTTCACAAAATATGGAGAGAAGAAGAACCCGACATCACTAACCTCTCAAGATTCGATAAACTTCCATGTTTTGAAATCCCCCTGAAACCGCAATTAGAACTCATCACACAAAACTTCGACATAGGAAAAAAAAAAAAAAAGAAAGAAAGCAACGCTGAAGACTTTACTTCTGAAATAAGCAAAAACAGGCCCAACTGGACCGTAATATACACTGATGCATCCAAAACAAAAGACGACCAATACATCGGTTTTGCTTTCACCTGCTCAAACCCAAAAATGGAGAAAAAATATAAAATAAGCTCCAATTTCAGCATCACAGAAGGAGAAGCACTAGCAATTCTCCAATCCCTCAAGACAGTAAAAAACATGAACATAAACAAACTCCTCATCTGCACGGACTCTGCAAGCACACTAATAGCCCTCAACCACATCGGCCTGTCGGGGAAAACCAACCCAATAATTTTAGAAATAAAATCTTTAATCAGCAGATTAAAAATGGCAGGCAGAGAAACGGAGCTCTGGTGGTGCCCAAGCCACCTAGGAATAGAAGGCAATGAAAAAGCTGATGAACTTGCAAATGAAGCCAGATTAACCGGTGAACTACTAGAGCTAAAACCCAATTACGCAATATACAGCCGCATGCTTCAAAAAAAATACAAAACAGAAGACGAAATAACCAAATACGAAGACTTTAAAAAATCCGGTTCGACATACCAAAAATTCAAAAATCCAGGACCAAACAATAGTAACAGCAAAAAAGCATGGTTTGAAAACAAAAATCTAAAAAGAATAACCATAACACTAATAAATAGAATGAGATCTGGACACCTATGCACTAACGAATATTTACACAGGATAAAAATCAAAGACAACCCTACATGCGACTGCGGATACGAAACACAAGACCTGAATCACATCTTTTTCAACTGCAATTTAACAAAATCAGAATCCGAAAATCTATGCCAAATACTGAAACAAGAAAAAATACAGGCACCCTACGATATCAGAAATTTAGTCTTCACAGAAAACGCAAAAATCCTCAATAGTATTACACAATTTGCCATAGACATCAGGAAAATAATCAATTTAACTCACATAGCAATAGACGACGACGACGACGACGATAATAACAACGACAACACATGATTCAAATATTCGCGGGACATGATCCCCCACCACAACTATACTAACCACACCACAAACATTGGCTGTACGGGACTCCCCAAAGGCCAGCTGAGCACAACTCAGCAAGGAAAGAAAAAAAAAAAAGTTCAAACATGAACTCAATAGGTCAATTAGTTTAACAATGACAGCATTTAAAAATTTTGAAGGTTTGAAAATTTCAATCTCTCATTACTTCTTCTTCAAATAACTTTGGAACACGTTGAGATATTCGATTTCTTTAAAATGCACCTAAAAGCTGAGACATCGAGCTTGAATTTACATGTTGTTCTAAATCAAAAAATACCCATCTTAGGGTCATTTTTAAGAAATTTTGCAGTCGTTTTGTCCATAGAAATTAAATGAAATCTTTTATATCAATTCGAAAAATAATTTTGTGTAAGTAGTTTCTAAAAAATTTGATGACTTATTTATAAATCGTGATGAAGTGACTAACTTTGAGACTGAATTTTACAGCTTAATATTAGGTAACTATAATAACCCTGTAAATGTTCGATGTATTAATCCATCGAATCGTTTTTTTTCTCGTTTTCAAACGAATAAAAAGAACAAGTTTTGCTTCTTAAATTTAATATTTTTAAATAATTCTCAACTTCGTAGAAAATTGAAATTCTTGTTTTTAACAACTTCACTTATGAGATTTTTTACATTTTATTCAAAATTTTTACTGTCGAAATTATAAAAAAATTTTTTTTATACAAGGGTTCAAAATTAGGAACTTGAAATTTCAATATAATTATTTTTCAAGTCTTAAAAACAAAATCTGGAAAATGGATGACCCTGCAGGCCATCCCTGAAACTTTTCGCTATGTAAAATGCCAGAACGCTCGAGAAATTATCGATTCTGAAGTGTTTTTATGCACAAAAAGATTATTTTTTAACTACCAAACGATTCGACGTAAAATTTTGAAGTAATGTAAAAAAAACACTTTTTTGAAACTTTTAAAAGTTAAATATTTCACGAGAGAATTGACCAATTTTGACGAAATTGGCGACGTTCGACGCATTTCTTCAAACACTAATAGTTATTTCATTACATAAAAAACGATCCGGAATAAAATTTCGAAGTTATGTAAAAAAAAAACACTTTTTTTGATTTTTTTCATTAACGATATCTCACGAACGAATCAACCAATTTTGATCGGCCCGGCGGCGATCGACGTGGATTTTTTATGTTAAGAGCTGATTAGTTTTTAAAATCGATCGGTTAAGCTATTTGAAAGTTATTCCAAAAAAACTGCATTTACAAAAAAAAATTTCGTAGTTTTTTTCGATTCTTTGGAATCTACCGGTCCGAATCATTCGATATTGTATTGAAAATCTAAGTTTGGTCAAGTGCTTTTAAATGGCACCAACCGCGATCAAATCAGTCAAACCCACACACACATACACACATAGTGACATCATAGGAAAAATGGTTGGAATCTCTTTCTAGGACCTCAAAACGTGGAGATCTGATGAAAACTCGATTTTCAAAAATCGGGGTGAAACTGGTGATGTGAAGCAAAGCATATGCTCGTCAATTGCTCGTCATTTGACGTCGATTGACCATCTAAAAAAAATGACCGCCGGTCATTTTTCGAATTAAATGGTGATCTAATTTAAAAGCTAAATTAAAAAAATTTTTTAAATTAATTAAATTAATTAAAAATTAATTAAATTGTTAGATAAATTTCGTTTTAAATATTTAAAATATTGAGGTTGCATATGAAATAGATTGGTTTGATTTTTTTTTTTGAGAGGAATTTTAGTAAAAAGAAAAAAAAATGCTCATGAATTTTTGTGACTGACCAAAAAAAAATGACGTCAATTGACGAGCATTTGCTCGTCAATTGCTCGTGATTTGACTAAAATTGAAAATGACCGTCATTTTGAATCACTAGGTGAAACCAATGACTTTCAAATTTTTGAAAATTTTCAATTTTCTTAGCGAGATGAAGTTTTAAAAAAATATCTTTTTCTAAAATGCATAACACTTGATTAGAACTGATATAGCAGTTTATTGAGTTAGCTTAATTTAATCGGTTGTGATTGGGTAATTATCTAATCTATATAAACCGGTTGATTCACCTCAGCCGATCAATCAGCTAGTTAATTGACCAGATTAAAGTTTCAAATCAGCTAATTTGTTCAATCTAAACTATGTAATGAATTTTAGAAAATAATTTTTAAGAATCAGCGCTCTAATTATGTTTTTTTATAATTAAAATTAGATATGCACCACAAGTTACGCAGATACCAGTACAATATGTTCCGCCAGAGATACAAGGAGTCCACCCATCAAATCAACAGCCACAATATGCTCCACCGAGTGGACAGCGCATGATGTAAATTCTTTTTTTCTGCATCTGATTTATATAATTATAATTAAAAAAAGAAAATATGAATTTATCGATAAGTACATACCTATATATATATATATATATTTATGTATAATATATATAAATGTATGAAAAAAAAGTTAATGACATTTTACTTTAAAGAAAAAGTATATATACATTTTTTTAGTTTTGATTTATCTTATTGATTTAAATAAACAATTGCATTCCTTATGAACAAAAATAAAAAAAAAAAAACAACTATAAATTATTAAATTTAAGAGATAAACTGCTTAAAAGTAAATAAAATACTTTAGTTTTATATTATTAATTATTAATTTTACATATAAAAATAAATTCATGAAGAAAAGTTGTTGAAATTATATTAAATACACGTATAAAAAAATAATAACAAATAAAAACGTTAAATTTTTATTAATTTGGTAGCTGACGAGTGTGATGATTAGATCGAATTTCATAAATTTAATAACTGAAAGTCATGTATTGTTTTTATTTAAATATAAATAAAAATTATTATTTAATATATGTATTGTAAATAAAAATATTTTCGTTTTCGGTTTTTAAAATTAATATTAAAAAATACTGACTAATAAATATTGCAAACTTATAATTTAAGTTTCACAGGTTTTGTAAAATTTTTTTTCTAATTACAATAAGAAATAACTATTGAAAACATGTTTATGAAATGTTTGAAATTTATAAATGTTTATTTCTTCTTACTTGAAAAAAAAAAATGACGTTGTATAAAAATAATTTATGCATATTATCGATTAAAAATAAATGATTAAATAATTTTTAATCTGTTCTTGTTAATTTATTTATACACATTATTTAACCATACTCGATATCATAATCATAATTTCTTATTTTCGGTACAAGTGGATCGTACGATGAGATAGTGGCGGAAGTGACCTTCGATTTCCAAAAGCAACTAGTTTTTTACGATGTCGTTAACATTTGATCGTTAGTAAAAATATAAATAAATTTGTAATTTATTACCGATTCTTCAAACTTAATTTCTCAGAAATATATTGTTGAAAAGTAAACTTAAATTTTTTCATTATCAATAAAATGAACCAGCCATTGAATAAAAAATGGATTTTTTATTTTTAATCAATTACACTATCTGTGTATTGTGAAATGTTTTTTTTTTTTTTTAATGTCTTCAAAAAAAATCTATCAATTTCGTCAGTTAAAAAATTTAAAACATTTATTTCCTAGAAGAAAATATAAACTAATAAACATTTAGGCGGTAGACTCGAAACTATCTATGTCTATAAAAGAAATTGATGAATTAAAAAAAAAAATAAAGATCATTCAAAAATTTCGAAACGTAAATTTAAATATTTTCGAGACTTATTCTTTATTTTAACCATCCTTAAAATCATCTCACCTGACTAGGTTTCATCATCTCGAAGCGAGTTATCTCTGAAGAAGCTACTTAATTGAATACATAAATATATATTTTGTTTTCCTCTTTTTGTATATTATTCTATTAAATTTAGACAAGTCTTAAATAAATTTGAAAAAAGTAGGAACTACCCATATTATATAACTGATAAATTCGTATAAACAAATCATTTTAATTTTAATACATTTATTATTCATTAATATCTATATTTAAGGTGATATAATTATTTAAATTAAAAATTTTATATGAAATTTGCTTCAATTGTTAAAAAATTATTGCATTAATTTTAGTTACAAATGAAGAAATAAATAATAATAATAATTGTATTTAATATAGCTGATAGAAGTAAAAAAAAATTATTTTAGTGATACATACAGGTGTATTATATACTCTGCAATTTGTCAGCATCAATTGAAGAAATAATTTTTTTTAATTATCCAAATGTAAATCTTCTTTATTAAATATATCTTCTTTAACTAATCAAAGTCATAAATCTAGCTTAAATGATTATACAGGCTTAAATTAATAACAGAAATGATCGTGTTAAGAGTCAATGGTCAAAAAAAAATATAAAACGATCAAAACATATAAATATAACATTTCTATTTTCTGATATGAACTCTAAAGTTTAAAATATTATTTTTTTTATTTTATACTTTAAACTTTCCACTTTAAAAACAACTTTGTTAAAAGTTATTGTACTAATGACAACAAAACCATGATAACAAAAAGAAGAAGAAGAAGAAGAAGAAGAAAAAGAAGAAGACAAATACTATCAATAGAAAAATAAGATTTTGTTCAGATAACGAATGTTCTAGGTATAAGCACGTGACATGATATAAAAATTGTTGCACGTCGTCGACCTTGTCACTTTCTGCGGCGACTTTTGCCTCCATTCCCCTACCATCTAGGGTTATAACACTTACATCTTCAACGAAGACAAGAAATCGAAAGTATAATCTCCATGTCATGTGTGTTATGACATTTTTTAAATATTATTTCTATTTAATCTCCTTAAATTTCAATAACTATTTTCATAAAGTGTATTTTAAACAATCATTACTATTTGTTGATTATAACTCTGATAAAATAAATAAAAATATTAGCAATAGCTCTTGACTGTTTGCATAAACAATGTATTCAAATAATAATAATAATTAATTAACAATACTAAGAAAGTGTGAAGGCTTTCTATACCTCGACCTTAATATCAATAATTATACACTGCATTAAGTACAGTTGTCTTCAGGAGAGGATCCTCAAGGTTGCTCTAAATTCCTTTGAGATGACATTTTGTGTTTTGCTTTTCTCCAACAATTATTAGTCAAAATTTTTCGAATCTATTTTTTAAATACTTGCTTGTGTTAAAAAAAAAAATTTAAAAGAAGAAGAAACAGGTCTTTCTTGAATACTGTTGTGTCTTATAAAAATAAATTTAGAGAATCCACATGATGAACGATTGTTTTTGGTAAATATTTTCGAAGTGCCTCCAGGGCGAACTGGAAAAACGTGGGGATCCCGATGGGACGCCATGGTGGGGTGAACCTTTTCTATATAACCAGCCGATTGCTTCAACATCTTCTCATATCCTGTTGGGTGACTTAAGATTTGTTTTATTTTTTTTTTTTAAAGTTCACATTGTAATTACATAAGGTGAGTCTCGGAAATTTTAAGTTGCTTCAGTTAAATTTAACAGTTCATTGTTAATTAATAAATAGTTCAATTGTTTATTTCTTCATTTTTTTATTATAATTTACGAAGAAATGATCAAAATAATTTTTCAGATGATTGTGCCATTGGCAATTTTTGTTGTCCTGGCAGTAGTTTCAAATACAGAAGCCGACGTAAATGCAGCTCGACCTCATAGCAATCGCCCAGGAAGATTTTTATCACTTCCGATTCCAGACAAGTGTGTCAGACGTAAGTTATTTTATTATTTTTATTAATTTAATTATACCAAAGTTGGCAGAAATTTTGAAAAAAATTGCACATGTACAAATTTTTTTTTGTCTACTTAAAAAAAAAATCTGAAAAATTTTCTGCTAACTTTAATTAATAATTAGAAAAAAATAAACAAAAATTTGCAATCATAAAACTTACAAAACTAATTGCACATATAATCATTAAAGAAAAAAATTTCTAGCGACAACATAATTAATAATTGCAATTCTCACATTTGGTATTGATGTCAGTGGGTTTTAAAAATTAAAAAGAATAGCTCGAAGGCACACATACGTGATTTCATGTCAATGCATTGACAATGAAAGTACATTACCTAATGAAGAAAAATAAAAAATTTCCTCTTCTAAAAATATTAAATTATTTTTTTGCACCTGTTTGTTTACAACTTTCGCTATTGGATTTTTCATTCCCAAGTTAAAGTAATAAATTTTCTAAATAAAATTCACTCATTGGCATTACGGTAATACGAAACTGATTTAAGTGAAGAACGTGTAGTGGTTGTAGTATTAAAAGTCTTACGGCATACACTTGTAATCCTTTCGAGAGTTTCAGACAGAAATAAGACTTAAAACTTAAGACAACTATTGTTATATATTCTGTTTGAGTACAATACACACAACAGTATTTACTTTTTTTAAATTAAAATAAACACCATTATTTCATTTTTACTGGTAAACATAGGACTACTAAAAAAAATTTACAGAGGAAGAATATATTATTTGAATATTCAAATTTAAGAAATTAATATTACTAAATCAAATAAAAAGCATTGTTATTTTTTTTCGGAGCTTAAAAATTAAAAATTAGTGTTTTTTTTTTTAATTTTTATTTTAGTCATTAATACTCAGGAAAATTTTTTTATAAAATTTCATGAAGTTCAAATCTAGAAAATTTTACAAAAGCAATACTTATAATTTTTAGTAATAATTTTATAAAATTTTCTGAACTTCTCTGAAAGTTTTTTTAATTTTAATTTTAAAATTCTATGAAAGCATTACTATTGATATTGAATAATAATTTTATGAGGTCATGAACAAAAATTTTATTAAACTTCATAGAATTTTTAAAATTTTCACAAAAGATTTTCTTCCCCGAGTACTATAATTAAATCACCGCGCTACTTTCTCTATAACATTTTTTTTTAACGCGTAATTGAATTAGCGATTAGTTAATTGAATATCTTAATGCTCAAATAGCGTGTAAACAGCTAAAAATATTACTTATTAGTGTTACAATGTAAATATAAATTAATAAAAAGATTTACAGTACAAATAATTACAATTATCATTGCACGAGTGAAAGCTACGGCATTTGAGTTATTGCGGTAATTAATATGCAATTATTTTGTATCAATTATTATCACATTACCTGACATGAGTGACACGTATAATCACATTACAGTGTGAAGTAAGCCTTTTAGTATCTTCAGTCGCTTTCTATGTAATGTGTAATGGAATAATCGTTTTAAATAATTACTAAAAATAACAATAATGTTTCTTCTTTTTTTGTTTCTTAATCATTTGGAGTAGACGATTCAAAAATTGACCTTTTAAATTCAAAGCCTTTAATTTCCAATTTCAAAATTGTCTATCGTCTTCTTTTAAACCCAAAGTACGGATAAAAAAAATTGACCTTTCAAGTTTTTTTTTAAAGTACTTGGGTCTTAGATTTTTCGTAATGTTCGTAAAAAACTAATTAAAATATAATGATATTGGTATAGGATGAATTCAGACAGAAAGTTTGAGAATTAAAAGAAAATATAAACGGATTTCCACGGTATTTAATTATGTGAGAGGTCTATGTAAGCGGTTAGGCCGTGGGAGTGTATCGCCTCGTGACTTACAAGCTACATAAGGTGTCGCAACGCGTGGTCGTTTGTACACGGTTACAGGTACAGGTAACATAAGATGTACCGTACAGAGAGCAACTGAGAGTCTGTAATCATTGGATCGCTTTGCCGATGACCTCCTTCTATACGAACAAATATATGTTTGAACACTTTTTAAATACATCTTTATTATTGACTGTTACTTTTAACATTATTATTATTATTTTTGAAAAAATCTTTCCCTACTTTTCTTTTATGTTATTATATAAAACGTGTGTAAATAGATTTTAGTACTTCAACATAAAATTGCCGATCATTATTATAATTAGAGGTAGAAAAAAAAGATTTTTTTTAGATAAAATTATTTTTGCTCATTCATTTCCATTTTTTTTTCTTTTTAATGAGAATTTGTAATTTCTTATCTCGCCTTTTGTCTAAAAAGTTAAACAATAACTTTTATTTAAATGTGATGTTAAGGATGTTTGTAGAATTCTCGATAAAATTATTGTTATTTTGTATTTAATGATGTATTTCCGGACATTTTTTATGGAAACGCATCAATAAGTGTTTTTGTAGCTTTTATACTGCATTTTAACTTTTTAATGTCTTTTAAGAAATATTAAAACTTTGATTTAAATCATTGATCTACATAGAGGAAAAATTTCTTTTGAAAAAAAAATGAACAATGTTGTAATAAGAAATTAATTTGTTCAAAATTTTCAACAATTTTATTTCTTAGCTGAAGAAATCAAAATTTTTCTCGCAGTAATTTTCTGATTACAAAGAAATTTTTTAGTTTTGAAAATAAAACAATTTTGGATGAAAATTTGCAAATTGTCTATACAAATTTTTTTTTTTCAAAATGAAAAAAAAAAATTTTTCAAAGGGATCCGACATCCCTTGAAAAATTTATTAGATAAAGAAAAATTATTTAAAATCGTCAAACTACTTTTCTGTGTATGTGTGTGTTAGAATTCCAAGAATCTGTAGTTTTGTTATTTTCCAACTCGATGTATCTTTAAATTAAGAAAAATTATTAAATGTTAAACCAGAGTGAATATTAGATGTAATATAAACTGCAAAAAAGTTTCCTAAATTTTTTTTAGAGATAATAAAATTACTACATTTCAGAAAAATGGTCGAAATTCAAATAAAAACATGTTTAATATATAAGTTTTTAGTTTCAAAATTTCTTAAGCAGAAATGTTTGTTAGTTACGCTTACTGTGCAATCCTAAGAAATAATGCGATAAAAATTTTTCGAAAATTTATTTTTTTCTACTCTCAGTTAAAAAATGAATCCTACTTTTGGAAATTAAATCAAACTTAATTTTTTTAGAAGTATAAAAATTTCCATGACAGTTAATTTTTTATTTTAATTTAATTTTCAAGACACGTAGTTATGAATCTGTATAGATCTAAGAAAGAATTTTTCAAACGAAATGTTATTTATATGAAAAAATTATTAAAGAATAATTTTGTTTAAAAAGTATTTGAATCCACAAATAAGAATTATTGAGACTTCAATCTTATTCATACATTAAATAATAAGTTTAACTCTTTTAAATTATTTTTAACAGATCTTACAACAAAAAATTATTCTTTATTTCTGCTGAGTTTTTCTACACAAATAAATATATAAAAATAGAAGAATTGTATTTTAATTTGTAATCTAGAAGCAAGGTGAATAAATGACTAGACTTCGACTTAATTCAATAAATCAAAGGTTAAGACATATAAATCAAAATCAAGGCGATAAAGTTTTGAAAGTTTAATGAAAAAGTGGAAAAAAGTCGAGATCTCAAAAAAAATTTATATTTATCTGCAGTGATATTATTAATAACTACGGATTTATACTCGAATTAAGGTACACTGATAAAAAATTTAACTTGATTCAAAGAAAAAATCTTGAATCAAGAATACCATTTTGAAGAAAATAATTTTCTTGAGTCAAGAGGAAAAATTCTTGAATTGAGAATAATTTCTTGATTTAAGAATTTTAGGAAAAATTCTTGAATTGAGAATAAATTTCTTGATTTAAGAATTTTTCTCTTGACTCAAGAAAATGATTTCCTTCAAAATGATACTCTTGATTCAAGATCTTTTTTCTTGAACCAAATTAAATTTTTTATCAGTGTAGTTGTCGTGGTTAAGGCATACCGCCAGACAATTTAAAATTTTTGTATACTTATTAAGGACATAATGATACAATTACCCTAACAATTTGAAGTCGATTGACCCCCTATGACCCGAGATGAATTCAATTAAAAATTGGATATTTAACATTGATTGCATACGCTCTCTGCAATTCTGTACCAGTTTCTTAGTTATAAAAAAAAACTAACTGTCAGAAACTTTCAAAAAACTGACAGTCTTTTAATGTATTTGTTGTGAGTTTAAAAAAAAATAAAAAACAATTTTTGACCGCCTAATTATTAGGTAGATTTCTTTAGAAATCTATCTATTGTAGCCGGTCTTATATCGTAATTTTTAGAAAATTTTGTCATAATATGTTTCATTATATCGAGTAATGTCGAAAAATGGCATTGGCTCAAAAGTTTATATATGTATTTATGTATGTGATATAATGCGCCATGTCAGCAGGATTGTGCACACAGTTCTCAACCGATCGTCATGAAATTTTGTGAGCTTATTCTGTGGATCAATACTAAGATTAAGTTCGAAGATGAGCAAAATCGGCCGGTTAGTTTACGAGTTGTGGGTGTTTAAAAATTTTTTTTTTCATTTTCAAAAAATTTTGAATTTCGTAGATTTTATGAAAATAATTTTCCAGATTCAAAAGATAGATAAAATCTATCAGATTTATCTTAAACTTCATTTAATTACCTTCAATATTAACTATCATTTGTCTAGTTTTAATGATTTTTTTAATTAATTTCGTGACTTTGAAAATTTTTCAATGAACGTATTTCGGCCCTTCTTTTCAAAGAATTTTTAGGTCGTAAAAGATAGCTTAAATCTATTAAATTTATGTTAAAATTTACATAATTATCTTTAATTTGAGCTATTATTCGTCGCCTTTTGATCCATTTTTCAATTCATTTCGTAGTTTGGAAAATTAAAAAAAATCTAGAATAAATGAATTTTTAGCTTTTATTATCAAAAAACTTTCATCTGTTACAAATCCTATTTTTTTAGGTAGATGTCTTTAAATATCTATTTATTGTAGTCGGTCTCATATCGTTATTTGCAAAAATATGATAAAAAATACATTTTAGGACATTATTGCCTTTTAATAATGTGTTTTTTTTTTTAATATTTAAACGAGAAATCTACCTATCCATGTCGGGTATGGCCGAATGGCGCTTTTTTATAAATTATTTAAAGTTCAACAATTTATGAAAAAGTATATATCTACGGAATCAGACAGAAACAATTGTATGGGTTGCGTCTCCACGGACACAGTCTTGCATAAAAATTATGGATTACTTAGCTACAAGCTTATATATTTTTGCAGCGCGTATAATCTCTAATTTTTTGACAATATTGTACTATGATAACTACCTTAAGAATGAATTTTGGTTTTGGCATGTTTCTGCTAAGTTCTTTTAGTAATTAGAAACTTGCCAAATTTTTGATTTTTCAAAATTAAATAATTTTAATAGTTCTTATTCATCAGCATCAAAATAATGAATAAATTACAAGTCAATATTTATAACTATAATAATATAATATCGACTTTGTAGCACTTTCTCGTATTTAATTAACCGGCTTATAAATTTATCAATTATAGTAAAAGTTTTGTATCTCACTGGCCAAAAATTATGATTTTATTCGACATTATGTTTACATAATTACTATTAATGATTTTTTTTAACGTTATTATTTAATACTTAAAAGTCACGCGATGTAAACTCGCACAACCGGTCACAAATTATAATAACACCATCCGGAATGGCAATTAGTCATCGGCTCTAATGTCTCTATTCCTAAGACATCATTTATCGAGGTCATTCATAAAATAAACCGACGAATATTAGTTAGTTAATTTGGTTTATGAAATATTCATGAAAAGAGTAGAAATTTATTTGTTATTTACTTTCAGGACCAAAGGAATTCAATTATCGAGGACATAATTACTTTCTAAGTTCACATGTTCCAACACATGCAAGTCAAAAAGTCGATTGGTTGGATGCTAGAAACATTTGCCGAGAGTACTGTATGGATTTAGTATCTATTGAAACTCAAGATGAAAACAATATGATCTACAGATTGATTCAACAAAGTAAGTCTTTTTTTTTAACTAAATATATTTATTCCCTTATAAGTACAATTCTAATTTTGTACACAGAAGCTAAATGAAATTGATAAAAACCGTAAAGTTATTCACGAGTTGAATCAACTATTACTTGTGAGTTGCTTATTAAAATTTAATTTTGAATAACAAAAAAAAAAAAGTGAGAAAGTTATTTTTTTTTTAATATAATTACGATACAACTATTATTTGCTATTTTCACTAAATTGTTTTCCTTATCTTAAACAAGTTGTAGGCTAATAAAAGTAACAATTTTTATGGAGAAAAGTTATACGTCAAAGAAACCACTGATCTTTTGGAAGTAGGTTGAGGATAAATAACCACATCATTTTACATAATTAAGAAACACTGATTTGATCTTTTATAGTGAAAGAAATCTAAGGTCTCATGAATTATAAATTGTCATTTTTATTCAATGAAAAAAAGTTATCGCGACTACTTTTTTATTTATTATAAATAATTGTCGAACATAGTTTTTGCGTACAATTCTTTTTGTGCAATCACGCTCAATAAATAATTGAAATAAAATAAAATTCTTTTAATTTGTAAATTAAATCATCGATTCATCAAATAGTAAAATAAAATTTTGAATATTTATTTATTTCGAATTTTTACAGCTGAAAATTCTTATTTTTATCTCATCACTTTAATTATTATCAATGTGAAATTAGTAGACAGCTGATTTTTTATAATTTGCAAATAATTTTAAACTTAATAATTGAAATAAAAAAATCTAAAAAAGATTCTAGAAGTATTTAAGAATTTACAAATACATTTTCTTTATTATTATTTCTTTAGTAATTAAATTATTAATAAATTGAAAAAAATATTTTCGAGCATCTGCTACTATCAAACTCATTTATTTTGACCTAAAAATAATTTAATGTCGAAAAAATTAACAATTTATGTGAATTTTTCATTTTTCTTACTTTTGCAATTATAGATGATTGAAAAAAGTGTCATTGGCATGATTTATATTGTCAAGATTTTTCATTCTAACTTTTGATGATTCTTTGAGATTTTTCAGAATATCTTTTTTTCAAATTTTGTAAAATTTTCGTCATTAAAAGAAGACAAAAAAAGTTTTTATATTATATATCTACACTCGTAAAAAAATTATGAAGAAAATCACTTGTCAAACAATTAAAATTACATATTTCTAGTGTTACAATATATCTTTGTTTTAAAGTTAATAAAAAAATAAATAAATAGATAGACTAACTTCAAAAATATAAAAAAATGAAAAAAAAGAAGTAATAAAAAACTATTTTCTTGAATAAAAAATAGCATCAATTTTGATAAAACATTATATCAATAAAGTAATCTCTTTAATTTCAAATCGATATCAGTCAAATAAAAAAGAACAAATGAAAAAACTCAAGAGAATTCGGAGCTCAAAAAAATACGTAATTAAGAATTTTTTGTCATTTACATCAGAGTATGTACTGTTAATTGCCTATTACATTATCAGACATAATAAAAAAATTATTTTTAATAGTATATAATTTTGATTGAGCTAATACTGATGTTGAATTCGATGGATAAATTTTTTACTAAAATTTATATACTGCTTTTAATTATTTTTATTTTTTAAATTACCCTAATGATAATTTGATAAATAATGTATAATATAAATTTTTAGATGATGTTCCATACATTTGGACGTCAGGTCGTCTCTGTGACTTCAAAGGTTGTGAAAACCGTCGTGACTTGGAACCTAAGTCAATTTTCGGATGGTTCTGGTCAGCGAACCGTGAAAAGATGGCACCAACCAACCAAACTCCAGTCGGATGGGGATACAATCCATGGTCTCAAACTGGACACAAGAAACAAAAACAACCAGACAATGCCGAGTTTGACATCAACGGTACCACAGAATCTTGTCTTTCTGTTCTCAATAATGTATACAATGATGGTATCGCTTGGCACGATGTAGCCTGTTATCACGAAAAACCATTCCTTTGCGAAGATTCCGAAGAGCTTCTCAATTACGTTGCCAGTACCAATCGGGGAATCCGACTTTAATTATTTAATTATTTTTTTTTTTAACTATTTTACCTGTTGTTTAAGTCTACTTAAGAATTTTATACAAAACAAAGTATTTTTACATTTTTAATTAAATAATAATACCGATTAAATCGAGCCAAAATTTTACCTTGTACCACATTAAAATGTGCTGTATTTTAATTTAAAAAATTTTATTTCGTTTTTACTGTTAATTATGAATTAAAAATTTTTTTTTTTGATCTACGTTTGTAATAAAATATCGTTTACTTTTTATTGTATAATAGAACAAAGATAATAAATATAGAAATATTTCTATTAAAAAAAATTTTTTTTTTATAATAAATACCTACCACCCGTTTTTTTTTTTTAATTTAACATACATTACAAAAAATTACATAATTAAAAATTTTTGAGCTGTCTGAATATTATGATAAAAAAAATTTTTTTTGACTTTACGTTGAAGAAATTAAGATTTGAAATTATGTTATCAGTTTGATTTTCGATCATATATTCAAAATAAATTTTCAAGTAACTGACGAGTAACTGTTACGAAGCACTGATGGTCTTATATAATATAAATGTGAAAGTATGTTTGTTTGTCTGTCAATGACGCTCAAGCGATTGAGAAGATTACATGGAATTTAAGATAGAAAAAAATTATGGCCTAGAATAGCTTACAGAGTATTTATTCTAATGATATGAAGTAATGAGGTAATGGGGGTGTAAAAGATAAATAGGCTCCAGTTTTAAACTAAACTGAATGTAGGTGTTGTAATAATGACTTTTATCATCTATATTATTAAAAGAATAAGAAAAATTTTGTGGCCAGTGTATTTTTATGATAAAATGGGTTTTTATGGTTAAATTTGGTGTCGTTGGAAAAGTCTTGACTTGGAGTTGTGCCTTTTCAAGGTTTCAAATCAATTTCACCAATAGTCTATTTATGATGATAATTATTTAGGCTGCATTCGAAAATGCTCTGTCTCTAGATACATAATTAAGAAATTACCTTGTATCTCGTGAACTATTGACATTTTTAAAGATATAAGCTCATCCCGATGTTACACTCATCGAGACCTTTCATTTGAGTACCCACATCAATTTTACATATATTTATATATATTATATATATGTATATATGAAAAATATATATCAAAATGCATGTGGGTACTCAAATGAAAGCTCTTGACGAGTATAACATCGGGATGAGCTTATATCTTTAAAAACATCATCAATAGTTAAAAATTACAGTGCAATTTAACAAAAGTCATAATTTTTAATAAAGCAAAATTTTATTTATTTATAATTTACAAGTCCCGGCAGTCACATAGTGACTGCAAGGTTGCTAGTTGATTAATATTTTTTTTTATTTTTAATATAAATTATCGAATATGGTATGAATTTATGTATTTTTACCTTCGTCGTTATAAGGAGGATATAATAATTTCATTTTATTTTATTAACTTAAGGGATTATATCCACTTGTAATTTTGAAAAAATCGAAATTTTTTTTTTTGTATATTTTGAATGTATAGATTCGAGAATATTGTCTGTAAATTTCAAAGTAATCCGGTAAATAGTTTCGGAGTAATGAGCGTATTTGTAAAGACGTCTCCGAGCGTTTGAAGGTAATTTAAATAATAGCCAAAACTTTAAATGCGTTTTTCTCGAAACGATGTTTTCAAAGTCGGTGAGCAATATTTCTCCGAAACCGCTTGACCGATTGACTTGAAATTTTCACAGGACCTTCATAGATACTTTTGTCAGGTAATGATCGAAGGAATAAAGTTTCTGATGAAAATTTCGATTTTTTTAAGTCACTTTAAAGTGTAAATTTTCGTGCAAAAAAAGATTTTTTTTTTTTACGAAGAAAATTTTAACTATTTCTTCGATCATTACCTGTATTTATCTATCCTAAAAGTAATTCTTTTGGTTTTTTTAATTTCTGATAATTTGGATCAGAGATATCTTGCTCACCGCCAGACACCTTTTTGTGGAGGACCTTCAGGAGATCTTCTACAGGAACGACGGAACCCAATATTTTTATTAATAAAATATGAATTCTTAGAATACGTTAAATTCGCTAAATGTTCATATATTTTATGTATATATTCAATAAAACGCCTTTCCAGAAAAAATTAACAAAAAAACACATTTTTTCGAATTTACCAGTGGATATAACCCCTTAATGACCGTAATAAGAGTTTTTGATTACTATTTTTTCTAAAATCATTTCATCGATGATTCACCAATAAAAAACTAGGTGACAAATAAAGTAAAATCGATAATCTTAAAAGAAGTAATGAAGTGACCAGGTGATTAAAACTTTTAATTACCAACGAAATACCGACACGTATATTGGATAAACTTAGATAAAATTGACCTTGTCATTATCGAATTTCTGAGTCTAAAATCAGAAACTACCTACGTATATATTTATTTAATTATTTTTTTAACGAATCGTTGCTAGCCACCTATAAATTATCCATCATTTTCGACAATAGGGATCGTGCGTGAAATATAGAGGCAGCACTACTGTCGGAGTGAGCGCTCTCTGGTGTTTCATTGGTGAACATAACGGGATCAAAACAAATATTTAACAACATTAAAAAAAAGTTATAACAATGGAAAAAATTATAAAATATGGATTTCAACCTGTAGTCAATAATATAATATATACATGGCCAGAATATTATAAGCAAATACTATAATATAAAAATATTTATCATTTATGAGTCTGTACTTACCTTATGTCAAAGTTATTATAAAACAGAGAAATAATAAACATTGAATTTAAAATTATTTAAGAAAATAAAACCTTTCTTTTTTGTAAAAAATTAATTTGTTTTTATCTTATACAATTAGAAATTTAATTCAGTTTTTACAATTATTTGAAAAAAGCTTATTTCTTTTTATATTTTCACGTCCAGGAAAAATCGAAGGAACATAAGATGGGTGTAAAGGATGCTCCGATTTTTCATTATTTACAAAATGGGTACTAGAAATTCTCGTATATTTATTTGGTACCCAGTCTTTTGGATTTTCTCTGAAATCAAAGAAAAGAATTATTAAAAAGTTAAGTCATGACTATAAGATAAATGGCACGAATATTTTAAATTTCATCAATTAAAAATGATCAATTTTTACATACGTCGTATTTAAAGCTTATAATTTTACTGAATGGTGCAGTTCGTTTTTATAAATTTTAATTAATATTGTACTTACACGTAATTTTTCACTGCATTCATCCACTGTTTGTTTTAATATTTTCCATGAGGCTCCTCTAACACGCTCTCAGGAAATTTATAAAATTTCACTTCCACACCGAATCCACGTTCTCAGCGTGATATATTATTACATCCAAGAATACAACAATTTTTTCTCGAAGCTGGCATTGTTTAAAAAAATTAAATATATTTTATTTATAATTATTAAAAAGTAAATCACATATGGTTTACGTTAAATACATGATCCCAACTGTTTTGGATACTTGCCAGTAGTTGGCGTAAAAGTCTAGACGCACGATCCCTATATATAAAAGCGCTCATCAATTTTCAATTTTATACTTTTCATTATCAAGTACACAAGTGTCTTGCTCAAGATGATCGCTAAAGGTATGATATATATTTGTGCTAATATTCATTGAATATCTACATGTACGTCGTGACATTTTTTTCATACTGATTTAATATTTTTCTAAATTTATATTTTTACAGTTATTATGTTGTCACTTTACGTGACTTATGTCACGGCCGGTGCTCTTCTTCACTCTTCATCTTATACGTCGTGTGGAGAAGGTATACCAACACCCTATTTTTTCAGTATCTTGCATTGCGCCGAAACTGAATCTATATGTCCTCTTTACATGGGCCTCCCAATAAATAGTATATTTACTTTTGCTATACGTAAGTTTATAAAAATTCTGAAAATATCTGAAATATATAAATTAATTTTATTTTTGAATGATCACTCACATTTTACCAATACTGTTAATAAAATACTCATTTTCTAGCTTATAAGACAGAATCAATGAAAGTAAAAGCTGATTTTCGATTTTCTACGGGCTTATCAATGTGGATGCCATATGTAGGGTTCTTGAAGAATGCTTGTTGGAATATTTTTGATAATTATCAATGTCCTGCTATAAAAGGTCAGGTAGGATCTTATTCGACAGGTAATATAACTGTCCCAGAAATTCCTGGCCTAGACAATATTAGGCTTGATATAAAATTCATAATGCAAGACGACCACGAGAGAGATATCTTCTGCTTGATAGTGAATACTATAGTTAAAAAATATCCAGTGCCTTAAAAAATATCCAAGCGAAACTAACTATGTACTTTAATCCTAAAATCAATATTAAATAGTGCTTAAGCTATTTTTTTGAGTTTTATATTCTTCAACAATAAAAAATTATCACAAAAATTAAAAAAAAAATTGTAATTACTATTTTTTAATTTAATGTACTTGTTAACTGTAATTAACGTAATGATAAATTTAAAAAAAAGTTTGTAAAATCCAAATGAGCATGCCTTAAGCGCTCATGTCATCCATAAAATATTTAGATCATAACAAAAATTATTCGTTTTTAATTTGAAATTTTCCCGCGAGTAGTATTATGCCCTCTGTAGGTTGAACTAAAGAAAAATTTTAACAGATGATAAAACAGTTAGTAATTATACCAGCATGTATGTGTAGTTTCTGCTTGTTTATAGTTATTTCAATTCTGTTTATGAAAAATAATACATATATGTATGTAGTATACTAGTATACGTTGCGCGCGCAAGCGCGCGTGTGAATGTTGGTATGGAATTATCTATATTTTCATGCTTATGATATGTTTGACCAATCACGTTACGAATAAAATGTCTTCATCAATGTATATTTTCATATTTTTCATCTAAATTATAAGAGCGGACTAGAATTTGAATTTACGCGCGCAAGCGCGCGCTTTGACTATAGAGTTTGCATATATTTTCATGCTTATGATATATTCGACCAATCACGTTACGAATAGTTTGATGCCACATACATTTCATCTCAATTTTATATTAGGACTAGAATTTAATTTTCGCGCGCAAGCGCGCGCCTCATATTTATTATCATGGTATATTTATGTGTCGTTTATGTATAGTATATTCACTTTCAACCAATCAGAATGAGAATATTTATTTTCGACCAATCATAACACGAATAGATTGGTTTCACATACATTTCATCTCAATTTTATTATGGGACTAGAATTTAATTTTCGCGCGCAAGCGCGCGCGTCATATTTGTTGTCATGATATATTTATGTGTCGTTTATGTATATTATATTAACTTTCAACCAATCAGAATGAGAATATTTATTTTCAACCAATCACATCACGAATAAATTGGTTTCACATACATTTCATCTCAATTTTATTATGGGATTTTATTATGGGATGGCTGCCGAAATCGCAGAAAAAATCACCGAACTGACAATCGAAAAAAATTAACTGTATCGAAACGGAATTATTTTGACACGCAAGTTTCAGAAAGGTTTTGATAAACTTCCTCAGGAATAAAACAGAAAAAAAATTAAATCGTGAAAGTGATTTTTGACAAAGTTGTGGTGTTGTCAAGCCCATATCTCCCGTGAATACCACGCTCTTATTCATTTAATTCATCAGAAAAACGAGTTTTTTTCTGAGAAATCTTATTTAATGATAAGAAAATTTTTTTAATGTGTTCTATAGTTACTATTATTTATTTCAATATGCTTTTTATCCATAATTTTTTTCGTTTAAATTATGAAAATCACGTTTTAATCGAAATCACGATTTTTAAGCGAGAGTAGAGCATACCTGCGCGCTTCGCGCTTAAGGCATGCAAAAAAATTAAGCTAATTTAGGAATATATTGATTAACTCATGTTTAAGTATATTACTATTAACATTATTTAATTATAAAAATTGATTTATTGTTATCTTCTTTTTGAAAGCATAAGAAACATGAAAATAATTGCGTATTATTTCTACTCCGTTTTCGACAATTCTTTCTTCTTTTTCTCCAACAGTTTTCGTTTCATAGCATTTTTTGCTTTCATTAATTTACTCTGTGGCTTCCGCTTGCGTGGCAATGTTGTTGGATCTAAAAAAAAAAAAAAATTATTTCAGTTCAATTTCTACAATAAATCTATATAATTAAGATAATAATTAAATTAAAATTTTTTCTCCGGCGTATTTATATGATAAAATGAGTTTTTTTAATTAAATTTAGGACTATTGAGAAGGTTTTAATCTGAATTTGTACTTTTTTAATGTTTCATATGCTTTTCAGCAATAGTTAATTTATTATAAGTTTTCGAATTACACAGAAAAAAAAATGTTCTTGAATCAAGTAAGTATATAATTTTAAAGAAAATCTTCTTGATTTGAGTAAAAAAATTCTTAAACTAAGAAATTTTTACTTGGTTTAAGTACCTAAATTTTACTTGATTCAAGAATTTTTCGTCTTGATTCAAGACAATTTCCTTTTTCAAAATTATTTTCTTGGTTAAAGAATTTTTCTCTCGAATCAAGTTAATTTTTTTTCAGTGTAGTTATAACTAAATTCGAATTTCGCGATTATCGTCATATGATTATTTATTTATTTTTGTACATGTGAATGTGGTTACATTTAAAAAATTTCAGTTTATATAATTAAGAAAAATTTTGCAACAGGTATATCTTTATCGTAAGTTGGGTCTGATATTTTCTCAGCGACAGCCATTTATGATTTAAGTAATTGAGAGAGTAAGTAAAATTTTGTGATAAGCATATTATCATTTTGAAAGAAATTTTCATAGTTAAATTTGGTATTATCAAAAAGGTCTTAGTAAGAATTTGTGCATTTTCACGGTTTTATATATTTTTTTGGTGCCGCGACTAGATAACCGCGGACAAAATAACCGAACGACATTATAACCAAGTAATAAAATAACGACAAAATATTATAATACAAATATTTTCGTATAAACACACAAAATTTATGAAAAAAGGACACAATACGATAAAAAGCTCATTTGTTGGCCTATTTTCGAATAAACACACACACAAAATCCATGAAAAAAGGGCACATCAAAACAACAAGCTTACTTGTTGATCTATTTTCGCGAGATTAATTATAAACTTTTATAATCTGGATATTTTGTCGTCCTGTTATTTTGTCTGTGGTTTTTTTTATTACGGTGCCATATATTTTTCAGTGATAGTTAATTTTTATGTTAAGTTTTGGGAGGAGTTTTGAATAATATGTTGGTTCTATAAATTTGTTCCATCATATTTTTGCATTAAATTATTTGTAATCGATTCTGTCATAACACTATTATTGTTTCAACTTTATTTGAAAAGTATCCAAACCATGTATAGTGTGATTAGAAACTTCAGTTTCGTATTCGTAATCCGTAAATCTCGACAGTTGTATAGTGACTGCAGGTTGCTAATAATAATAATAATAATAATATAAGCTATTATAAATAAATAAATAAATAAAAATAATACATACAATTTATTGGAATGTTCATTTTTTTTCTCAGCATAACTAAAACTTGTTTGTTAATTATTTCACGACAATGTTCACTAAATCCAGGGGGTAGCCATCCGCGTTTCTCGTCACATTTAACACCAGGCATAGGATCCGGGAGTTTTGCAAACATCTCTTGAATTTCATCAGTTAATACATCGCAAAACTGAAATATTAAGTTAAATTAAATATTTATAAATTATCCTATGAAAGAGTGAATAAATATTTTGTAAATTACCTGGTACAAAGTTTGTCTTGAAGATGGAATGTTTCCGCGTCTGTAAATATAATCATTTTCGTCGTACAAATTAGTTTTAGTCCTGCGTTTGATCTCTGACAAACTAGCAGACGCCGAAGCTTTTGATGCTTTCGCAGCTGACGCTGATTTATAAGGAATCAATGAATTGGTATAAGATCTTTTCCCTTTAACATATTTTTCTAAGCCATGCATAGCTTTACATCGATAGTCAAGTATCTGGTAGATTCTTGCTGCTGGGTCTTTACGTGGATCATAACCCAATCTTACCCACATTAATCTCCACGGACCAGTTGTAAAGTAATAAGCGACTGAGGGTAATAGAACACGTATTTGATCTTTATGGTACTTAGTTTTAACCAATAATGCTGTTCTAGACCAAATAGGACGTTTTTCAAATAACTTTACCATAACTTGAAGGTCTTCATTTGTTAAAAGTTTTGCTGCCATTGATTTATCAATTCCTGGCTTAGGTACTGATGGAATTATTTCAGTTGTAAATGGAACATTATAAGTAAGTCCAGCCCTACTTTTTCTGTTTTTTCCTATAACATTCTCCGATTCCGTTTCTTTAACGTCTAATTTCAGGTTATACTGTTGGATAGTGTCCATGCGACTAAAAACAGCTGGAGGAAGAAAATATGGAACCTTTTTAGCCAACCATTCAGGTGTTAATATTCCCTTGGGACAAATAGAATCATAAATACATTCTCTTTTCTTAGGATCTGTTACACTTTGTGTTACTGGAGTGTATTGAAAATCAATCAGGCTAGTAAATTTAAATTCCATTACTACACGTCCAAGTATTTTTAATTTCGGCAACTTGTAATCTGTTTCATTAGCCAAGTCTTCTATTTTATTACAACTAAACTTTAATGGTATATTTTTTGATGAATCACCAGATAATTCATCAATTAGTGACTCATTTTTTTCATTTCCACCAGCAGTTTTGCTACGGTTTTGTTGAGCATCTATTTCACAGTTACGTAATTCTTTGGATAATCTTTTAATTTCTTCTCGATCAAAATTTTCAATCGGATTTTGTTTTGATAAATCACGTGGCATTGCTGGAGTTAAGTTACGATAATTTTCAACTTCTTTTTGCTTTGCCAATTCAGTAGCTTTTTTAACTCGTGATTTTTTTACACGAATGCGTAGTAGGAACCCTGATACTTCGTGTCGATCACCGCATGCTGGCTTGCAATAAATATCAGATTTTCGTAATTTTAACTCTAATCGGCGATTTGGCGTGTTTATAGTCTAGAAAAATTATGAAAAGTAAGTAGCTAAATTCGAATACCGCATAACAAAATACCCGAACATCAATATTTTAAAAACTGATTATTGCATAGAAAATAAAAAGGTCGTTTCAAAAACTAAAAAAATTATCTTCAAGAATCTGCCATGATTTTATGAAATAAAAATTTATTTCTTTTCTAATTATGAATCCGGGTATTTTGTCGTGATACCAATTCGAAATCATTGCTTTTATTATAAAAATATTAAATAAAAAATATCTTACTGTTGATATTGATCCAAGCCCTCCTAAGTTTTCAATAGCTTTTTCTGGATTTATAACTTTACCAGGGTATTTAATGCAATAAAATTTTTTATCTAATCTATGACCTCCAGGAAGAATAGGCCCAATTTCTTCTTCTTCTTCTTCTTCTTCTTGATTATTTGATGCATTATTGCGGTTTGCGGCCTGTAAAAAAGAATTATCCTATTAAAAATATCCAAAATACCCGAGAAAAAATATTTATATATAATTATATATATTTATATATAAATTGGTTATATATGATTATATATGAAAAATGGCCAAATATAATCATATCTAATTATATATAATTATATATAACTATATATAATTATATATAACAATATTTAATTATAGATTTATTACATCTAATTAATTATTGGGTTAATTTTATGGATAGAGTATTTAATATGGTCCTACGCAATTCTGTGTAACCGATCAAAATGCAAAAAAAATATCTAGATCTAATTTTATGGCTATAACACCAGTGGTCACCCATCCAACTATTAACCCTGCTCAATGCTGCTTAACTTTGGTGATCTCCGTGCGTCTTGAAGTTTCTGTTTGCTGTGCTGCTGTCTTAGACAATAATGATTCTATGATCTACTTAATGTATCATATGAGTTTATCATAAATATAATATAAAAATTGATTTTATAATATATTTGGATAGTCATAATTCATAATTTATTTATCTTACCGAATTTCATTATAATATAACCCTTATTTAAATAATAAAATAAATAATGATTTCACTATTACGTAATAGCAGAGCAGATATATATAATTCTATATAATTATATATGATTATATATAATTCTATATAATTATATATGATTATATATAATTCTATATAATTATATATGATTATATATAATTCTATATAATTATATATGATTATATATAATTCTATATAATTATATATGATTATATATAATTCTATATAATTATATATGATTATATATAATTCTATATAATTATATATGATTATATATAATTCTATATAATTATATATGTGATTCCATATATAATCATATATAATCATATATGATTATATACAATTATATATGATTATATAGAAACATTTTTTCTCGGGTCAGCAAAAAATTTTAATAAAACTGAAGTTAACAGACACGACAATTTTTTGATTTTACTTAAAAAATAAACTAGACATAGAAAATTATTTTAAAAATCTCATTTATAATTTTTCAGAGTTTCTAAAGATCAAATTTTTAAATAAAATTTTCTTGCTATAATTTGTTTGTTCAGTATCATAAATTTTATACTAAAAACAGTAGGCATTCAATCGATTGCATCAATTTTAACAATGATCTGATAGGAAAAAAAAATTGTGAAAGTTGTTGAATTTTATTACTTGTAAATTTCTACTTCAATTTTTCATTTTTATAAAATTATTTTTATAGTAAAGTAAAAATGTTTACTAAAACTAACTTACATTTACATTTGATTCTTCATCATTAGAGTCATCACTGAAAAAAAATTGATTGTAACTGCTGGCAACAGGTTCTTTTTTTATCAGCATTGTTAACTATTAAATATTATTATTTTTATTTATAATTTAATTTATAAAATTGTAAATCGTGTTTAATATTTGTAAGAAAGGTTAGACAAAAGTGTTTTTACTTTCCGCGTGTCTCGTGTGTTGTCACTTGTCAGTGTGAAATGTATGCGTTGATAATGTAGAAATCCTATGAGAAATTATTCACACCTTGTGGATTCAAAGGGAATACACTATACTAAAAATTACTAGACCAAAGTGATACGATTATTATTATTATTATTATTATTATTTATTAGTCAACAAAACATATTTAAATAATTAATTATTATTTAATAAACTTTAATTGGATTAATTAGATTATTTGGCTGCCACAGCTGTGGTGGTATCTTGAGCGATTTATTTGTGTATATCCGTGTGAGATCTACAGTACGTTGAATGGTCCCAGTTGTTGGCGTGGTTGGCGCTTGGCGGTGTTGAGGCGTTTTTGGTTGCGGGTCTGCCACCAGAGGCGTGACCGCGCTGACAGTACCGCCACTATGGAGGGTAGAGGTACCTCTACCCTCCATAGATCAAACGTAACAGAACGTAAACAAAAATATACTAAACATTAATAATGGATTCTGATAAAGAAAAAAATAGCTGCACTTTTTTATTTAATAAAAGTAAAATACGTAAAACAGGCATTCGACAACGCAAAAAGTCGTCAGGTAAAAATATCACTTATTTTTATCGTTTCTTTGAATATGGGTAGAGGTTATATTTAAGGTTATAAACTGGTCATCAATTAATTATTTATTGTTATTTTTTTTTTTGCAGATAGCAGCGAGGATGAAACTAAAGTATTTAAAAAAGAATCTAAAATTTCAGATTCAAATCCTCTACGTCAAAGAGTAAGTCAATGAATTTATACTTTTTAATAACAAATCTCATGCTTGAAGTAGCTGACATACCTCTTTTTTTTTTTTTTTTTTTTTTTAAACTAAATGAGTAAATTTGAAAAATGTGCATACAAAAAGTTTTAAAAATATTCATCCATTAGTTTTTTTTTTATTCTTTAATTTGCTTGTAAATATACAAAAATTTGGGTCTTAAGTTATAAATTAACAATAGAAAAATTAAAAATTACAAAAAGTATAACAATCTAGTAGTCTTTTATTAAAAATTAAAAATGTACAGTAAGGTAAAAGGCCCAGTTATTGATACTGTCCTAGTTGTTTGACACTTGCAATTTTGCTCTAATTAAAAAAAAATGTTTTTTTAATTTTCTATTTTTAAGTTTCTCAAAAGAACAATTATCTTAAAATTTATAATTCAAAAATTATATTTATTAATTTATTAGAGTTGATTAGTTTTTTTTATTTTAAATAAAATTGCAAGTGTCAATAACTGGGTCTTTTACTTTATATCAAACTTCAGTATGCAATTTTAAATTATATTCTCTATAAAATTTTTATTTATTAAAATAAAAACAATGAAACTACAATTTACTTTTGAATTTTATCTCTTTTATTGAAAATATTTAATTCTAATTTTTTAATGACTAAAGTATTTTTTAATAACATAATAATTAGTAAATTTTTTAACAAATATAAATAATGCTGTGAAGCGGGAAAGAATAGGAGTTACGGATAATTATTACGTGAAGCGTTCCAACATTCACGTAACAGGATAATTGGTAGGAAAGGATTGAGAAAGGATTATGGAGAGGAACTTCTTAATGTGAGTGTATAGAATATGTGAGAAAAAATTATTAGATAGCTCGGACTGGGATTCGAACCCAGAACCTTCCGAAGACATGTCGGCTACTCTACCATTTGAGCTATCCGGTCTATACTAAATTTCCTTTCACTTATTCTATATACATTAAGCCACACCGTCCATCTTACGGTTAGCATTTTTAACAAATATAAATAATTAGAATAGTAAATTTTTTTCTCTTAATTAGACAAATACATCAAGCAAACGAAAAACAGAGAAATCAGACAGCAGTGATGATGAAAATATAACAGTTTCTTATAAAAGTCGGAGAACAACAGCAGTAGCAGGACCAAGTGACCAAGGTGCCACTGCAATACTAGAAACTGAAACAGAGTTGGACAAAGACGCTCAAGCGATATTTGAACGAGCACAAAAAATAAATGAAGAACTTGAGGGTAAAGAAGATGATAAAATATACCGGGGATTAAATAATTATTCGCAGTATTATAAGAAAAAAGACACTGCTGCTGGTAATGCGTCGAGTGGGATGGTACGCAAGGGTCCCATAAGAGCACCAGCAAATATACGTACCACAGTAAGATGGGATTATCAGCCTGATATATGTAAAGATTACAAAGAAACGGGTTACTGTGGTTTTGGAGACAGCTGTAAATTTTTGCATGACCGGTCAGATTATAAATTAGGCTGGCAACTCGAACGTGACGCGATCACTGGTGCTGATGGAAACAGCGGTGATGAAGACGATAAAAAATACGAAATTGATAGCGATGAAGACAACCTTCCCTTTAAATGCTTCATTTGTCGTAATACATTCGTCGATCCGATTGTTACTAAGTATGTTTAATTTAATTACATAATTATTTAATTATTCTGCCAATAATTATTAATTTATACACTTGATACTAATTACTTATAATTGATATGTTACAGGTGTAAGCATTACTTCTGCGAAAAATGTGCCTTGGAGCAGTATAAAAAAACGACTCGATGTTTTGTGTGCAACACACAAACTAACGGTGTTTTTAATCCTGCGAAAGAAATAATTGCGCGAGTTAAAGCGGATGAAAATAAGAGTATTAATAAAAGTAGTGATGATGATGATGATGATGATGATGATGATGTATAAATAAATAACGATTCATAATATACTTATTATTTGGTAAAGTTTTTTGTGAAATTTTAATCAAATTTCCGGTATTATTAATTAATAATTAGTAATTATAATCAATAAATTAATGGGTAATTTTTATAATATTTTAATTTACAATTTAATTGATGGTGAAAGACTGATGTCCGTAGCTTGGAGCTTAACTTTTCTACAGGATATACTATAATATAATAAAGCATTAAATTTACAGCAGTCAATGTGTGTCAGTTGGGTAGTATTAACTTGAGACAGCTTGTGTGTCGCGTGGGTGGTTAAATATGTGAGTGTGGGCTTCAGTGTTGCCGATGGCTTAAGTTAGAATTACCCACTCCACTAAGTCCAATTACCCGTTTTTACCCGGTACTGAAGGTTAGTGTTGCCATCTACTAAAAGCGCGGTAAATTTAAAATTAAATATTAAATCTTAGAGCATTCAAAATAAAAAGTACACAATAATAATTATTAATAAAATTTATTGAATTATTTCGTTTTTTTAAACTTTCAAAACATAATATTGTTAAGTATTTGTTAAATATATAAACCATATAAATTAAAAAATAAACATTAGACGATGTACTTAGTAATGATAATCGTTATCATAACAATATTAATTCAGATTTTTTATTATTTATCGTTATTTTTCCCAAACATTTGTGTCAATCATTTCGTTTGTTGGCTCAAAATTAATAATTTCGCTATCCTTAGATGAATAATTTTTAGTTACTGATACAGATTTTAAGGTTTCCGTGGATAAATTGTTTCTATTAGTCAATTGATTTTGTGAATCACTCATTATGTTCCGGTAAGGCGCAAGTTCAATTTATGAGGGCAAGGACATATTTATTGTTAATCTATAATTATGTTAATTAATTTGAAATAATTTAAATCACACAATGAGAGGTTATTATTTTTATGATATATTTATTTATTATTTAAATAAATGACCAAATTCATGGAGAACTAACTGAGAGCAATATCACGTCGCTAAATTATTTATTTATTTTTTTTTTTTTTTTTTCATTATATTGACAGTACTTTTATCTCGGATAAAATTTTATCCCGGATTGAAAAACTGGCCCCAAGTATCTTTGTATTTTTAACTTACTTTATTAAAAAAAATATGTTTACTGTCTAACTAAAATGACTAAGATTTTCTAGCATTTAAAAAACCGTGGTTACTTATGCGCCGGGTAACTGCGCAAGCGGTGTTGTCAAGTCAAATACAAGAATTTAAAGAACGGAAGTTTCTTGTGATTTTTCATAAAAAATATAAAATATCTTCGTAAAACGTCCGGAAACCTACTTTTTTTATTATTTTAATCGAAAGCTTATTAAATTTTCTATCAAATTCAATGAAAAGAAAAATTTTTTAAAATCGTTAATTGCATTAAATTCTTAACCAAATACACGGCTGGTGAAATCTCCATTTAACTACATGTAAAAATTACAATTTTCAAACTTAATTATTTCATTAAATATCCCGGAAACCTACTGTTTTTTAATTTTTTTATTGATTATTAGGCTATGTAGATGAAATTTACAAATTTTCAGAAAATTTTAAAAACTTGACTACTTCGCGTGGATCTCCTTTTAATAAAACAACCATTACCCGACTTTACCCGTCTGAGTCCCATTGCTTGGTCATTTACCCATTTAACATCGAATTACCCGAAAAATGGGTAATTACCCGGACATTGGCAACACTGGTGGGCTTGTGTCAGAGACCAACTCGCTGTCTTTTAAATCGATACAAAACACACTACACAAAATAATATTTTTCGTTTCATGTATTTAATCATTATCATTAAAAAAAAGAAAAAATAGTGTATATAATGGTTTTTTAATATTAATAATTGTTGCTGTTAATAATGTTGTTTAAATAATTATAATATATAATTGAAAAAAAAAAAAAAAAATTGATAATTGTAACTATCATGACAAGTAGAAATTAGTGTTAATGAACAGTAATAATAGTCAATCCATTATAAAATGAAATTTTATATCATTAAATAAATAATTACACGGACTAATTATTTACTTATAATTAACTTGTAATTAGTTACTGTAATAGTTTAAAAATTATTTCAATACAATGAATAGAAAAAAAAAGTCCAAATCAATTTTTTTAATATTTTTTAAAAATGATTTTTTTAAGTGAACAATAAAGAATGTAGTTTTTAAATAATATAATAAGGGATATTGTATTAAAAATAAATAAGATAACTGAGAGAATAAAATTATCACTTTACCAGGTTAGTGTGAGTGTCTGTGTATGTATATATACATATATCAAAGAAACCTAAGTTTGATTGATAATATAATTTATTTTATTTATATCTACACTGTAACCGGTACAAGTGATTATACAACATTTAAATTAATAATTATTATTATTTAATTAATAATTATCAAAATAAATGTTTTTTGTATTGTAGATGAGTGGTAATGACGGTGATGTCACCCCCATTGGAGGAGGAAACTCTGTCGCTCGTCGGCGACAGAAAATCCAGTGGTTTATTACAGGAAAAAGGAATTATCAACAATCGTGGAGGTGGTGGTGGCAGATTTGGAATCAGAAGTCATACAAGAATGTATACTGAGGAAAGTAATCATCAAATGCCCAGCGAAATGTCATCAACCAATTCTAATACCACCGCTAACGCAAACAATATGACAACTACTATGGCAGCTACAACATCTTCTATTGAAACTGCTGACAATGTTGGCAAAGCTACCGGAGATGGTGAAAAAAATGTTGGAGGTGTTGTTACATTCGCTGATTCTGCTGAGTATGATTTAATTGATTCGATAAATATCGATGATGATTTACTTGGACAGTTTCATGAAGATGCTATTAAACAGGTTTACTTTCATTATTCAATTAATTACAATTAAGATTGAGTGAAGGGATAAATTTTACCGGAAAAATATCACCTGTAAAAATTTTTCAACAGGTTATTGGCATCTATAAAATAATAAAAGTAAGATTTAAGAAAAGTAATACTTGATTAGTTATCAGAAAATTAAGGTATATGAAAGAGTAAGAAAATATTGGCGTAGATTGATGAAAATAATTTTTTGCATAATCATGAAGGTAAAAAACATCTATTAATTTTTAAACAAATTAAATTGAAATTAAAAAATGCTTACCCCGGAAAATTTCAAAAGTAGGGCGTATTTTAAAAAAATTTCTTTAAAATTTTTAATTTACTTATTATTACATTCATTTGCACTTTGATTATTTCAAAAAATTTATGTGCATAATAAAATTCACATAGTTTGAGTTATTAAAAATAAAATTTTTTTTTTTTTTTTTTAAATAGGTATTGAATAAATTAGTTATTGTATAAATTTTATTTTAGTATGGTTACGTTGTTTGAGTTTAAAAGTTAGTCGAATTGATCAATTATTTAGAAACTGCGGATCTTTAAAATTAGTTAAAATATCTTAAAACCGATACGTTTAACTTGAATTTTCATAATTAAATTTTTTATATTTATCTAGCTAAATTTTTTTAAATATATTTAAATTGCCACTAGTATATTTTAAACTTTGATTAAAATCTAACTTTATATCTTATGTAAATCATGAACCAAAATTAATCTTACTCACGTTGATTATAAAAAGAAATCAATCTTTCACTTTTGTTGCTGTCGAGTGACATTTCTTGTTAGATAAATAATACTTTTTTTTTTCTAAAATAATGTCTTACCTGGTGATAAGGTACATTTTAAGGGTGATATTTATGTCATGTAAAATTTTTTATAAATATCGTAATGATAAGGTATAATTTTAATATTAAATCATCAATCCCTAAAAATTAAAATAAAATTTCAGGCTGGTGTTGGTTATTTCCAAATATTCGCAGCTTTGTGCACCGGTCTCAGTCTTGCAGCAGATACTGTTGAATTTTTCGTAGTACCTTATATATTGCCAAGCGCAGAAGTTGAATTGTGTATCAAAGACAATGAAAAAGGATGGTTAGCTAAGATAACATTAATTGGCCTTGCACTTGGTGGAATCGGATGGGGTGGATTGGGTGATCGTATTGGACGTCGTAGAGCATTACTGTCAGCAATGTCAGTTCATATCATTTTTAGTGGAGTAGCAACTTTTATGCCTACTTATGGAACTTTTATGACTGCACGATTATTTTCGGCAATGGGGTAAGAATAATTTTGAAAATTATCCACCAAAATAAGAGTGATTCTGCTTATTTAGCCATGTTAATTATTATAGTTATTTATATCATTACGAAAATAAGGGAAATTTTGTCTGGCGTATTTATTTATTTATTAATTAACATACGCCTGTCGGCAATATACATCAGAAGAAATAATTAAAATTAAATAACATTAATTAAAGAAAATCAATTAGAATTTAATTGAACAAAAGAATAGATAAAAAAATTAGTTTTTTTTTTTTTTTTTTTTTTTTTCAATTAAATTTAGCGTGATTGAAAAGGTCTTGTGCTGAGTTTTTGACTTTTGGTAGTTAATTTATAATGATAAATTTTGCAGAGTAGTTCTAGTAAAATTTTAATTTCGGGCTGGATAAATTTTTTTATTTATTTTCTTGTGTTCACGTGAATGTAATTACATGTCAAGTATTAATCCATACTAACAACTTGCCGTTACTATGTGGCTGCCAAAAATTATAAATTATTAATAAAAGAACTTTGGCTTGATGATTTTTCGATATTGTTTATCACAATATACATAGTTTGGGTAATTTAGAAATAAATTCGAAAAATACTATTGCTTTGACCGGATCGATTATCAATAATTTAATTAAAATGTGAAGAACAAACTTATAGAACCAGCTATTTAAAACTTCTTCAGAAACTTATATAAAAATTGACTGTTATAAAAAAAACTAATAAAATCGTGAAAAGGCACAGATTCATATCAAGACATTTCTGGTGATATCAAATTAAACTATAAAAATTTCTTTTAAAATAAAAACATATCCGTCACAAAATTTTCTTTATTTTCTTAATGATTTAGATCATAAATTGATTATCGCCAAAAAAAAAGTCAAACTGTAAAACGACATAAACTTTACGACCTTTCTTATGATAATAAATTTCACTATAAAAATCAATTCCATAATAAAAATATGACCGTCACAAAATTTTCCTTATTTTCTTAGTTAATTAATTATATTGATAACCATTTGACATGTAACTACATTTACATGCACAATAAACTAACTATCGCTGAAACCCATATAAAACCTTGAAAAGCACAAATCCAGATCAAAAATTTCCCGATGATACTAAATTTGACTAAAATGAAAAAAGAAACCATTTTTATTATAATTGCCCCGACTATAAAATTTTATCGTGAAATTTTTCATCATCAGAAAAATCGTAACTTGAATTTATGTCTTTTTACAGTGTAATATTTTTTCGGCGACCATAAATTTATCCTTTAAACAATTAAGAAAATAAAGAAAGTTTTGTAACGGACATACTTTTATTTTTATTATAAGAAACTTTTATAGTTTAATTTTTCATCATCAGAAAAATCTTGACGTCAATTGGTGCCTTTTCACGATTTTATATATTTTTTGGTGATACAGTCATTTTTTTATGATATATTTATGGAGAAGTTTTGAATAGTTGGTTCTATAAGTTTGATTCTTCAGATTTTCCATCAAATTATTAATAATCGATCCGTTAAAAACAATATTATTTTCCAAATTTATTTCCCAATTACCTAAACTAGGTATATTGTGAAAAAAAATATCAAAAAATCATGAAGCCAAAATTTTTTTATTAGTAATTTGTAATTCTCAGCAGCCAGCACATAGTAACTGCAAATTGCTAATTAGTAATATTAGTAATGAAGCAATTAATATCAATGAATATTGTTTTTATTTTGACAGTGTTAGCGGTGCTATCCCACTGGCGTTTGTCTACATAGCTGAATGCTGTCCGCACATCAGTCGATCAAAATGGGTCGGTATTTTAATAAGTGCCGGTGCACTTGGTGGTGTTTATGCAGCACTATTGGCTTGGATTGTAGTCCCAACAACGGGTGAAATGGTTGTATTAGAAAATAAAGAACACTTTAGTGCTTGGCATCGATTTTTACTGATGTGTTGGGTCCCGGCTGTTTGTGCAACTATCAGTTTAATATTTATACCAGAGAGTCCACGTTATTTGATTGAAGCTGGTCATGATGTTGAAGCAATGATGGTCTATCAAAGAATATACAAAAGTAATACACGTAAAAATATAACTGGGAGCGGTGCTATCACAGCAACAACGCAGTATCAATTGTCTGAATTAGAATTACCAACTAAAAGACCGAGGAGACGTGGACAGTGCAGTGGAAATTGTTCTCCACCTTCACCCTCATTATCCAGCAGTGTCAATAGTAGTAGTAATAATAATAATAATAATAATAATAATAATAATAATAATCATAATCATAATCATCATCATCATCAATGCAGCAATAGTACAAGTGGTGTAGTTGCTGATATTACTTACTCAATTGAAGTATTTTGCAATTCTTTTATTCAATTATTTTCGGCATCATTTTTACGCATAACAATAACTCTTTTGGTAATATGGTCTGCTGTTGGGTTTGGATTATACGGATTACTTCTTTGGTGTCCGGAATATTTAAAAGTTTTACGTTCTATGGAATATGAACAAGAGACAATACGTTTGATAAACAAAGAATATATTAATCAAACATTTACATCATCGTTAGAAAATCGTTGGTATAAAAATTCAAAATTTATAAATTGTAAATTTAATAAAATGGTATTTAGTCATGTTGATTTTGTTAATTGTACATTTAAATCTGTTGACTTTATCAGCATAAAATCAAGCAAAACACATTTTGCTGATAGCATTATTGTTAATTCAAAATTTCTTGATACTGATTTATCAGCTAAAATCTTTATACGGTGTGTTTTGGAAAATAATACTAAATTGAGTGTAATAAGCCCATGTCCAACACTAGATCTTGACTATAATATTTATATTGAAGAGGCATTGCATGGGCATTTGGTAGCTCAAATTGTTATTGTTGTCGCTGCGGCATTTACTGGATACTTTATTCTTACAACAACATTTCAACGTACTAAAATAATTGGTAAGTTAATTAATATAATTAATTAATTAACTAGGTAATAATATTTAAAATTTTTCCAGGTCTATCATTACTTGTAATTATTATTGTCGCAGTATGCAGTTTAATTCTTGTTATAAGTAAAAATAATGCATTAGCGGTGCTAGGATTCGAAGGTGGCTTAATAGCTATTTTTGCAATGATTTGGACGATATTTACATTTATAACAATTGAATTATTTCCTACCCATTTGCGTTGTACTGCATTTGGACTAATGGCAGCAGCATTCAGAATTTTTGGATTATTTGGCACTGCTATTTATCAAACTATTGTCAGTGCTCATCTAATTATACCACCTTTACTTACAGCATTTACACTTGCTATTGTAAGTATCGCAACATTTTATCTACCAAATACAAATAATGTCTTTTTATAGGGTTAATTAAGTTAATTATTTGAAAAGCACAGTAGTATAAAAAAAAAAATTGTACGCACATGATGCGAATAATCTAGTATAGTCCAAAATTTTAAATTAACCAAAGAGCGAAGACTATTGTAAAATGTTAAATGTAAAAAATGAATGTGTTTTAAAGTACCCCAGACTCTTCCCCAAAGAGTGCTATTATTATTACCCGCCGGTAGGGAATGGTGCCCTTCTTCGACTTCCTAACAGAACTGCGAATTGTGATAATTTCGAATTTCTATATATTCAAAACATTCACATGTACTTGCAAGAAGATACAAATTTTTTTTTTTTATTTTATTTTTCATTAAAAATTAACAAAAAAAAGGCACCAATTATTAATTGCTCTCACAACTTATTATATTTTATAAAAAAAAAATTTTTTTAACATAAATGATTTATAAAAAAAAAAAACTAAATTAAGTATTAAGTGTCGTACGTATCTATAATCGCAACATAAATATAGAATTTAAAAAATTCCTTGTATTTACAGTAAAATGTATATAAAAATGTGAATTAAAATAAAATAAGATAAATTGATAGTCTGATAGTTTGACGCAAATAAAATCCATTAATAATTGTATAATTAATCAGCGTTGGGTATTAACTAATTTTAAACTATTATCTGTTAATATCTCAATTGCAGATTTGATTATAAAAATTTTTATTGAGGGGTTATTCTGGTTCCAGCGCTTGAAAAAAAGCCAATATTCATAATTTTTTTACACAAAAACTATTACAGATATTAATATCAAATTTATTTAACTCAACAAATACACTCTTGGATAACACAAAAAATATCTAAATTTATTTTTTTTTATATTTTTTATATGAATAAACAACGGGTGAACAGACCCCCTCCAAAAGTTGGTATGTCACTAACGTACATGATAACTTAGTAGTTGTTGCACTAGCTACGGAGATTAATATTTATTGATAAATAACAAAATGACAGACATTTAAAAAGAAAAAAATCTGAAAAATAAAGCTTTTTTCACAGTTTCTAGTTTCAAAAAAATAGTAAAAATCAAAATTTTGATTTCGTTGTAGCTGATCCAATAGCTGATACTATGTAGAATATGTGGTTTGAATTTCATAAAGATCGGGTCAGTGATTCCCGAGACATCATGTATGTCAAGCAAAAAAACATAGTTCTGAGATAAACGCGTTTAAAGTTTTTTTAATTAAAATTAAAATCGAACCTAAAGTCAATCGGCGATGTCGGCACCATACAAAATTATGAAATTTAATTTAGCATACATTTAAAAATTTTATAACAAATAAATTATGGCGAAAAAAATTGACATAAAAATTTTTAAAAATAAAAAATGCAATTTTTTTTAAATAATTTTTTGGAACAAATTTTTTTATTAAATAAAATTAAAAAATTGTTAAATGGCTGCTAACTTTAATGTCATTACAAAATTTCTTCAGCCTTTTCTAAATTTTGATTTTTTTTTCATTCGAACATCAATATGGACATTTTAATACAATACTTGTAGATATATGTACTTTTAAAAAAACGTTTAAAAAAAATTTTTTTTAAAAGTTAGAAACCAGAATGACCTCTTAACATAATTACTCAATTATAATTTAAACTTTAACGCACTTAGTAATTGAAGCAATCAGAAAGTTTAGTTGTTAATAAGTTATCTTAATATTGACTATTAACTTTGAAAACAATTTCAATTATATCCAACACTGTTATTAATTATACCATTTAAGATTTGTCAGGTACTACCCCATTTTTGTATCCTGTGATAATCTAAGATCATCACACGGCGTATATATTAAACTAGAATGTTGTGTAAACAGGACACATTTTTTTTAAATGAATGTAATTGAAATTACTTACAGGAATACCGTATGTATAGCTTCATTTACACAAAAAACTCATTAAAGTAAAATCTGCGAGTAACTAGCAAATTTTTTTGAGACTTCTAGTCCTATAATTGAGCAATAAACCAATCTAAATTCACATCATTGACAATATTAATTGATGATATCAACAATCAGAAAAAAAAACTTACAAGCTATAATTAATCTAAGCCTTAATTTATATTTGATTATAATAATGATAATAATAAGCTCAATTATTATGATAAAAAAAAAAAAAGAATGTACTTTCAATGCTTGCCATAATTGAAATGAATTATACTCATTATTAATAAATACTTCGCGATCAATTTAAAACTTTACACACATACACACATATCATACATGTAAATATAAGTAATAATAATAAAATACTGATTAAGAGTGATTTAAATTTCGTATATTTGTTTTCATCTTACGAGTGACTTGAAATGGAATGAAAAAAAAATAGTCAATTAAAAAAAGATGATATGGAAAAAATGCTATTTATACTTTGACTAAAAATTTATTATAATTTTTTTATTAGTTTGAATCTATTTTTACCTGCGCGTTTTGTCATTTTTTTATAATTATATATTATAAGGGATTACATGCATGGTTGTAATTGTAAATAACATACACAAAAAAAATGTTTAACAAACAAATTAAATATAAATGCTGTTTTATTATGTACACACTTATGTATAAATTAGCGCTGCTTAATTTTAAGGCTTGCGCGATTATTTAATTCTAAAAAAATTCATCAACAATATTGTAATAATAATAATAATAATAATTATTATTATTATTATTGTTATTATAAAAATGACAAATACGCAATTGGTAGTTGTTATTGATACATTTTAATGATGATTATGATTATAAATAAAAGTAGTAAACAGCTGATAATTATTTTGTCGTAATGTCTATTGTAATTTCTTTTTAATCTACAATAATAATAATAATCAATAAATAATTTATTATAATAGAATATACGTAGTTAATATTTATGTATACTGTAATCATTATAAAAGCTAAAATGTATACTTTTATGGTAAAATAATTGTTTAGACCCCGTTATCACGACAAGCCGTGATCTAGGCCGACTTTCCTGGGTATTCTCTTTCTATTTTTAGTTTTTTTTTTTTTATTACTATTATTAGTAATATTTATAATATAAATATCATGTACAAAGTTTGTCATTTATTAAGCTAAGATATAAATTATTATTGTTTTATTTTAACCTCGTATTAATCATCAATTATCACCAATACCATTTTTAATATACATAAAAGAATACGAGATTATGCTCGTTTCGTTGTGCAACAAGCAAAAAAATTTCTTTTTATAAATGCAAACAGTACTCAAGCTCTTATCTTATAATTTTCACAATCACTCATTTTTTTAATTTTAATTTTATTATTTTGTTCGTGTAAAAGTATCAAAACACACGCATAATTGTGCGTATAAATATGAATAAAAAAGTAAAAAAATCACTGATGGTATTTTTTAATTATAAACTATAAAAATTATAAATAGTTATAAAAAAACAATGTATCAAATACCAAATTAATTAAATTTTAATATATCAATCCTAATAATACTTTATTTATACTTAGAAAATTTTTTTCGATTCCCGTTAAATTGATTTGTTGAAAAAAAAAAAAAAAAAAATTTTTTTCTTTTAATAAATTTGCTATGGCAGTAAAATATTTTTTGTCAATTGAGCGTAAATATTTGTTAATATTATATTAATGAGATCATATTGCAATGATTTTATTTTTCTTCATTAGTCGAATGAAAAGTTTACGTACTGCGGTTAATTTTTGGTCCGCTGTAACACTCCATAATTATGATAAAAATGTTTATTTTTCTGATAAAATTTTAAACGGCCAAACTTCAGTCTATCGAACATTAATTCATAATGTGAAAATCAAAATGATATTTTTTTTAATATTTCGATATTTGTCTTTTTTTCTTTTACGTTTTAAATCACACATATTTGTATAAAAAGATATAAAAAATTTTATCGTTAAAAAAAAGCGTAAAATACGCTAAATATTAATATGGCAGACAGTATATATTATTATATAATTTATACTATTTTAATTACTTCATTAGTATTTATATATATATATATATATATATATATATATATATATATATATATAAATACTAATGAAGTAATTAAAATAGTATAAATTATATAATAATATATACTGTCTGCCATATTAATATTTAGCGTATTTTACGCTTTTTTTTAACGATAAAATTTTTTATATCTTTTTATACAAATATGTGTGATTTAAAACGTAAAAGAAAAAAAGACAAATATCGAAATATTAAAAAAAATATCATTTTGATTTTCACATTATGAATTAATGTTCGATAGACTGAAGTTTGGCCGTTTAAAATTTTATCAGAAATATATATATATATATATATAATATATATAAATATACTAATGAGTATTGTAATATTAAACTAGATATTAAAAAATTTTCTACACACCATCACGTATAAAATCGATTATATAAATAAAAAAAAAAATAATAAAATAGTACGATTTATGCCGGCGTCATTAGAATGTTTACAGAAAAAAAAAAATAATATTTCAACATTTAAATTCAGAGGCCGTTATGGCATTTAGGTCCTTCATAAGGCCTTCTAGATTAGCCATTTCTTGATTCAATTCCTCAGTACTGTACGAGGGTTTAAGTCGTTCAATTTCTTCAGGCGTGTGACAAGCATTTGAGACGGAAGCCAGTCGATTTTTAGTCAATTGATTAGTACTAGTTGCTGCTGAGGAAGAACCGGATTGTTGTTTTTTATATGGACTTCCGGATAGACTAGACCTTACAGTAACTTGAGAAACTTGAGTTACGTGTTTCTGTTGTGCTGGTGTGGATGGTGCTGATTGTGGTGGTGGAGCTGGTACGCTGAAACTTTTTAATGGATGACCTTGGAGTCGTTTAATACTACCACTACCACCACCGCTATTGGCATTAGATTCCGTTCCTGATCCACTACCACCACCAAGTTCACCTCTACTGCTATTTCCACCGGAGATTATACTCGATGAATTAGCAGCCACGGAAGATTGACTCGTATTACCACCACCGTAGTGTCCGGGCGTAAACTGTTGACTACTTGTTGAATTATTGTAAGGTGTACTGCCGTACGTTATAGAATTATGATGAAGCTGCTCGTAATTGCTTGACATCGATGATAAATCAGCAGATGCATTCGACTCCGGAGTGGGCTCTAATGTTATATGGGCTCTACTTAAACTATATTGAGCGCCAACAGTACGTGGATAAATTGATCGTGACGATTCACGCGATCCATCCGATGAATTGAAGATCGTTGGTTGTGATAAGCTGTTACCATGACCGCTACTTACAATGGTCGTTGATGCTGCTGTTCCTGGTGTAATGGCTGAAATTATTATTAGTTTTATTTATTATATTATACTTCAATTTATTAGTTGGGTATTTTTAGACAGTATTCCCTATTTTTCTAAGAATTTTGATAAATTAATTTAGGTTTACCATAGGGTCATTTATAAGTGACGTCATGCTATTTTGTAGGCCTTCAAATCCCTAAATCCCCCCCATGTTACATTTTCAGAGAACTCTCCCTCAATGCGACGTTAAATTATGAGACATTTTTATGGTATAATCGGGATAAATTATTTTTTTCGTAATTGTGTTAATTATTGATTTTCTAAAAAAAATTCGGTAAATATTTACAAGTGGGGTCAACCATTTTAAATTTCATTTTTTTGAACAAAATTTTTATTTGATTTTATTGATATATCTTTTTGGAAAAATACATAAAAAAATGAATTAAAAAAAAAAAAAGTTGATTAGAACAATTTTAACAGATTTTCAAAAAAATTTATAAATTTTTTAGAAAATTGTGATATTCAACTTTTTTTTTATTGTTTGTTTTTTTTATGTACTTTAAAAAAAAATATATCAAAAACATAAAAAAAATAAAATAGAAATTTGCTCTAAAAACATGAGAGCCAAAATTTTTTTCAACTTTTGAAGGCAAAAAAGCTATCGAAATCTTTATTATTTTCTTTCACGACATTTTTTTTCATAAATGCGCCGTAAAAACAAGCAGAGTCAAAAAAAATTTTGAAAATGTTAATTTTTAACTTAGTTATGGCCCAAAATGGGGTTGACTCCACGTGTAAATAATTACCAAAAATTCTATTGATTTTAAATCGATGTATTATTTTTAGCTAAGTATGAAATTGAAAAATGCATTTGATCATTTTTATTTCAAAGTACTCATTAAATTATTAATCTATATATTTGTTAGATTTTGCCACAAATCTGAGGCATCTTTCTTACCCTTGATTTGTGACGTAATATTTAAACAGTCTTTAACTCTACATTTTAAAGCAGATGATAAATGTAAGTTATAAAAAAATCAATCAATATCTTAGTGAAACTGTGACTTCATGGTCCTTTTTTCCTCAAAAAAAATCCTGTGATTCGGTTTTAATTTTTTAATGAAATTTCAATGCATTTATAATATTAATTAACACAAATGATTTAGATGAAAACTGTCTAAAAAGTATCTAAAAATAGCTCTAAATTGGTACAGAAATAAAATGCAGATAATCTAAATTTTGCTGTGTGGTGTATTGTGTGTATACTTACATGAATGTAGCGGTCCACCGCTATCAACAACAGTTAGGGGGATAAATTTTGATTTACTGCGACTGTGTTGTCTCGTGAGTGTCGAGCATTTGTCATCCAAATTATTAGTTGCTACAGTAATTAAAATAAATGGCTTAACTTAAAAAAATTAACTAATGAAAATAAATAAGTAATGATTTTTTTTTTTTTTTTTAAATAAACAATAACGAAACTCAGAAAAATTTGTGTCGTTACATTTGTGTGTACTATGAATTTTGTTGCAGGATTAAGTTGTAATAAAATAAATCTATATTTACCCATATAACTTGGTACGTAAGTACGTTTATCCAGTGAACCAGAATTTATTACTGTATTACCAGATGTATCTGTATGGTTATAATCAGTATTACCAGATCTTGGCAACGTATTATTAACAATTCCACCGCTAGCCGTTGATGTCAAAGTTTCACCATTAATTGATGATTTTTCCAGGGCTTTGAGCTCCATCTGGTCATGATGAATCCATAGATCTGGTGGTTTAATATTTGTCTTTTGATTTACATCTTTCATATAGCCTTTTTTACGGTCTGGCGACTCATTTTGTCTTCTACAGCATACAAATATAACAACAACTGCAACTCCAGTTATTAATATCACTGCACAGCCGATTATTATGTAGATAAGAACTTGGGATAATCCTCGTCCATCTAAATTAAATTTTTTATTCATTAATTAATCAGTATTAAATAAAAATTTTAAACACACATGTATAAAATAACTAATAATTTCCTATGACATACTCATCATTCAAATAAAACTTACCTTGTTGTTGTTGGCTGTAAAAATCATCATAATCCATGCCATTGCCTAATATAAATAAAAAGAAAACGAAAATAAAAATAGTAAAATAAATCAAAATAAAAAAACAAATTTTTATACCAGCACACAAATAATATACATCGTAAAAATTAAAAATTGCAAAATGTGAAAATGCACGGCTCAAACATTCATATTAAAATAACATTGAAAATTTATTCAACAATTTCTTTATTTTTAAAATGGTTCAGCAATTGAGTAAATTTTGAATTATTAAAATAAAAACAACTGATAAAACTCATCAGATTCAAAACTTGTTAAAATGCATACGTTATCGCAAATCGGATTAAAATCGATCGATTCATTCAAGAAATAAATTGTTTTCTGAATTTTTCATTGAATAATTTGTGTAAAATACTTAAAAAAAAAAAAAAAAAAAAAAAAAAAAAAAAAACTCCATCCGGCCGCACCCGAGATGGAAGATAGATTTCATAGAATAGATTTAAGGTAAAAATTTTTGAAAAGTTAGAGTATTATTATAGGTCAAATCAAACGGCATGCCATCAGTTTTAGAGTGGTGTTTTCAAAAATGAGATATCTTGTCTGAGTCAAGAGTTATTAACAAACGAGCTGACCCGGTGAACTTCGTATCACCTACAATATATTTTGTTACACCTATCGATCAGCGATTATCAATCTTTAAACTTTAATCTACTTCGATAAAAATAAATACTGGCTGTATGAAGTGCAGTTAAAATTTTGTCAAGTTATTAAATGAAACTCGCTTCTTATTATTGCCTGAAAATCAAGATCCCAAAAAATCAATACTGAATTTATGAAATTTTTTTTTTTGTCCATATATACAGAAGATAGGCGATTAACAATTTTAGATCTGTTGATTTTTCCTTAGCTGAACTTACGGGTTTTCCAAAAATTTTATTCTTTAGAAAAAATCCCTGAATAATAGCGAACAAAACAAAAAGAAAATTTTTGAAATCGGTCTAACCGTTTTTGAGTTTTAGTGAGACGAACGCACAACAATTTTTTTTTTTAGCTGAACTTTCGGGTTTTTCAAAAATTTTTATTTTTCTAAACCATCCCTGAACTATAGCGAACAAAACAAAAAAAAAATTTTGAAAATCGTTCCAGCCGTTTTTGAGTTTTAGCGAGACTAACACACAGCAATTTATTTTTATATATATATATATATATATAGAAGAAGAAGATAGAAGATATAGTCACGGAAATGACGATTTTTTATATTTTGAAAATTTTAACTGGTCACTATTTCTAGAATAATTGTCTGATTTTATTCATCTTCGAATTCTTTAGCATTATATTATATCTATAAATGTTTCTACCACTGCTTTTTTCGAGCCTTACTCAGCTATTTAAAAGATAACATGACAAAATTTTCAGTTAATTCCGACATGAGGACCAATGTAATAGATAGATTTCTATGAAATCTACCTAATAGCTCAGCAACAATGACATTGTTTTTATATAATGAGTCTCTCAACTTGCATAAACTAGTTGAAAAATTATAAAACATTATTGTTCGAACCGTGCAGCAAATAACTCAAAAAACAATTATATAAAATTAAATAAAGATAAGAATTAGTATAATTTAAAAGCATAAACTTACTGAGTGGTGTTTTAAAGACAACAATAGATGAAAAAGGTCCATAACCTTTGATATTTCTTCCTTGAATTTTAAAATAATAAGTTGTACTAGGTTTCAGTCCTTTAATAATATACTCAGTCTTATTTCCAAGTACACCTTCAACATGCCAATCTCTCTCACGTTTCGTATTATCAGTCGAATAAGATATAATATAACCGATAATATGACCATTGGGTTGCTTAGGCGGTTGCCAATGTACTATTACTGCAGTAGAACGATCTTCATAACTTTGAACAGTTAAATCACGTGGTGATGATGTGGGTGCAGCCTCATGTGTTTGATTAAGTGCAATCATACTCCACGGTGATTCCCGCTTACCCTTAACTGTTTTAACGGTAAATTCATACTGTGTGTTTGGCTTCAAATCGTCAATCATACAATTTAGATCAGAAGCATTGAAATATTTATAACGTGGACTAAGTGTTAATGGATGATAAGGCGCATATCTAACGACGTAATATCTGTTGTCCGAAATACGTTGACCACCAGAGAGTGATGTATCTGTCCAGTACAGTACAACGGTATTGGCAGACAATACGACTGCTTTTAGCCCAACTGGTGGTATTAATGGTGTTACTGTTGATTCAACAGCCGTTTTCTCAATAGTCCTTACATTAGCATAAATTGGTGGTCCTTCGCCAGCTTCATTGGTTGCGCGTAATGATATTACATACTCAAACATTGGATCAAGTGATTCAATTGAATAGTAACGTTGTTTACCGTCCAATTCCTGATTAAAAACATCCGGATAGCCTTTACCCCAGCCAATAATATAACCCCGTACTTTTATTCTATCATCTTTTGGTGGACTCCACCATACGGATATGGACGTTGACAGGGCTTTTGTACGTAAATTCGTTGGTGCTGAGGGTACTGTTGATTCATCTAAATCATTCTCGTAAGTTTCAATTGCCATCCACTCGGTCCAAGGGCCTGTACCATTAACATTTAATGCACAAATACGTACATGATAAACACCATGTTTTTCTAATCCAGATATTACATGAAGACGTGTATTACCTTCAGTAGTTATTGTATTTGAATGATAACGACGATCCTGACGACGATAACGAATTTTATACCCTGTTATTATACCATTTTGACCTTCAAGCGGTGGTTCCCAACGGACAATAATACTTGTCGAGCTTGCTGCTTCTAATGTGACATTGTGCGGCGGGTGAGATGGTTGAGCGCTAAAAGTTCTTAGATTTATTTCACCCGTTGACGCACCCGGACCGTTTTCATTCACTGCATACACCCAAATACTGTACTCAGTATAAGGCGTCAAATCAACTAATTCACACGTTGTGCTCGTCGTTTCACGTATTCTTTCACCTTCGCTGAATCCGCCAGCTCCAATACTGCCACCAATGTCGTCTGTATTTTCCATTGCTGTTACAACGTACTTAGATATGCGACCGTTGAGAATTTTTGGCTCTTGCCAGGATACTTTTATACTCTGACTACTCGTTGCATGGCCCTCAAGATTCAACGGCGGGCTTGGTACATCTGCTTCAGAGTGAGTTGTTACTGTAAGGACTTCACTAGAAGCTCCAGCTATTCCTTGTGAATTATGCGCCACAACACGAAATTGATATGTTACTCCGGGTTGAAGACCTCGCACTACTACTTCCAATTGTCTTTGTGCAGTTATTACTACGCGTTCTCTATAAATCATAAATATTCATCGATTTTTATTACTGTCAAAGTTGAAGTATGTTATTTAAATTAATTGAATTTAATTTAAGCATGAATAATTTACCTTTGAGATCCATCTTGTTTGTAATAAATATGATAAGTAAGTGATGAATCACTATCAGCATTTTCTGGTTTTTGCCAACGTAAAGTAACAAATCTTGTCTTGACAATAACAACGCTGAGATTTTTTGGAGCTAATAAAATAGGCCCATTGCTGCCGGCACCCTCAAGTAGATCCAGATTGTCGGTGTTATCTAAAAAATGGGATTCAGGTTTTTGTTGATGATGGTGATAATGATGATGATGATGATGATGATGACGAGATGGTGGGGGTGGTAATAAGGTTTCATCAGGATCAGAATCAGAATCAAAATCAGAATCAGGATCAAGATCACCCTCAGTATCAGCTTCTGAGATTTTATCAAAAAATAAATCCGCGGAATCATCACCAGGATAAGAATTCGATGATAATTCTGGTGATGATGAAGTAAATGCTGATAATGTATGACCAAGGAGCGTGCTGGGATGTTGCCAAGTATTATTGTATAATTGTCGTTGATGTGATAATTTTTTTTTTGGTAATGACTTGGGTGACAATGTTATGGATGGTGACTTTGCCAAATGGCCTTTTTCTTTTTTTTTTAATAACAGATTAGTACGGGGTAACACAATTAGTAAAAAGGATAAAAAATGGTAGGAAAAAAAAATAATCAAATAAGTAAGTAAGTATAAAAAATAAATCATAAAATAAAAAAGCGAAATAAAAAAAAAAAAAAATAGCAAAATTAAAGAGTATATGAAAAAAATGACTTACTTGGCTTATGAATGATAACAAGTCGAGCGAAAGTTTGAATAGAACCCGCTGGATTAGTTCCAATACACTGAAATATTCCAGCATCTATCGGCAATAATCCATTTATTCTCAAATTATTGTTATTAACAAGCTGCCAGTATTCGCTGAGAGTTATTTTTTCTCCATTTTTAAGCCAAGTAACTTTAGGCTCTGGTTTACCATAAATATCACATTCAAATTCTAAATCCTGATTTTCACTAGCAACTTTATCTTCAGGTCTCTTTATAAATCTCGGTGGCACTTGAACCGTTACTTCAGCCACCGCATCGAGTGTTTCAACATCATTTTTTGCCCGACATTGATATGATCCCGTGTCCTCTTCCATAATATCAGTAATCATAAGGCTAGATGCTGCTATTTTACGATATCTTGAATCCAACGTCGCTAGATCAACAGCTACTCCGTTTTTCAACCATAAAATAGAAGGTTTAGGCCGACCATTAGCTGCACACTCAAGTATAATTGTCGCGCCTTCAACGGCTATTTGTGCTTTGGGTTTTGCAATAAATACAGGCGGGGATTGTTGATCAAGATCGGTGGATAACGAGGGCGATTCTTGTAAAAGAGTCAACTGGGCTTTATTACTCAATCGATACTGATTAAAAGCCGTAGCGTTGCATCGGTAGGAACCTACATCTTCGTGGCGTACATCATCTATTTCCAACGCACCCGAAGACGGCATTATCGTCATACGACTTTCATCCAGCTGCAAAGGATGTTCATCTTTGAGCCACTGAATTTTTACTCTATTTTCCAACAATTTCGTTGTTAACAAACTACAGCTAAAAAAGGCCGTTTGTTTTAAACTGACGGCTATATCTCGTGGCTCTTCTTTAAACGCCGGCAACTGTGACAACAAACTGATAGTAGCTATTTTTGATACAACAGCTCCGACATTTTCTACTGTCACTAAACATTGATAACCACCCGTCGACTCAGAATTATCTGCGTAAACACTGCTGATATACAGCGATCCATTAGCTAATTGTGATCTATAACTATCTCCAATAAAATTAACCATTTGACCGTCCTCGGTACGCCACTGGATATTAATAGCTGATGCATCGTACACCGTGCTAGACGCTTGACAGTCCAGTCGAGCTGCACCACCTGGCTCAACAATAACATCTTCCGGTTCTACTATCAAATCTAATCCCGCAGCACAAAGACCTTTTAAAATAAAAAAATTTTTATTTATTATTATAAATCATAATAAAAAAAAAAAATAAAAATAATAATAATAATAATAATAATAATAACAATGATTATCTTAAATTGAATAAACAAACAACGTTTACTTACCACTTGTGACAAGTCCAGAAATAATAAAACAGACTCCAATGAATTTATCCATTTTATTGAATCGATATTTCAATTCAAATAAACATTAATTAAAATTTTCAATAAAACCCGCAAGTTAAAATCATTTTCTGTCGTCCTCTAAATAATATCTATTAATCCACATCCCTTTCATCTCACTCTCTTTTTTTTTCCTTCTTTCTTTCTTCTCACTAGCTTTCGATTTTTATTTATTATATATATATATGATAGTTTCAATCCCGTCACTTTTTTAAATACTACATGGATAAAATTATCTCCAAACGTATAATTGCATTATTGCACTTACTGATAAAATAATACACAGTGTAATATTATTTAAATTCCACATAAGGACGTATATTTATTATTTTAAATTGTAAATTAATATTATTCTATTGCGGGGACGACATATTGCTGGCTGCGCGCGAGGAGACGGTTAGCGTCGTCGTCGTCGCCATAGTCTCGTTATGTACACCATATATATTCATATATGTAGTGTATATACATATATAACACATGTATCCAACCCCCTCATATTCACCTTTGCTCATTCTATTCTGTTTTTGTATTTCTATGCTGTCTACTGTACCATTCTACTCCACTTTCCGTGCGCCAGGCTTTATATTATGCTCTATACTTTCACTCACCCTCTTTTAAAAAATACACATCCCACACATTTATACACACATATATGTATATGTGTTTATTATCTACATTCTATTCATACCTATACATACAACAAAACATCTCAAGTCAACTTATATTTTTAAAAAGTGGCTCTGCTATTCGCCATCTGCGCATGATCCTGAATGAAAAGTTTTAAAAATTAAATGATTAGATTTTATCAAATATAAAAAAATTATCTAAACTTTGGAATAAGAAACTTTTTTGAAATTAAAAGAATTTTAATCAGTTCTTTTAATTAAAACAAGAAATAAGTATTTTAGGGATTTTTTATTTGTAATTAAAAACTTAGATTAAAAAATTTTTAACGCGAAAATATCGGAAAAAATTTACACCGTAAAAATGGCCGAAATTGATTATCTTAAATAATTATAATTATACGTTTATAAATATCTTCTAAGCACAATTAGATACACAAATTTTTAATTAAAATTTTTTCTGAAGAATATTAAATACAATCAAATTAGCAAGAGAATTTTTTATGAAAAAAGTCTCTTCTAATTTTTTTACATTAAACATTTTAATTTTAACATTTAACAAATAGTATTTTTAATTCGTTATTCTGAATAAAATTTTTATTATCACTTTTTGCATAAATGCTGTATAAAAAATGAGAAATACAACAAAACCGACAAGAAATTTAATATTTTATCTAAAATTTGAATTTTATTAAATTATTGAAATAGTTTTATTGAATAAATATTTTAATATTCCATTGCATGGAATTAAATTTGTATTCTATTATTTAATTAAATTATTTAGACAATATCAAAGTTGACATTGTTTTTTCAAACATGTATTTACAAGTAACAATTTATTTTTAAGCTAAAAAAATGTTTATCTAGATCACGGAAAAATAAATAGAAGTATTCTACTAAAATTTACTGATATCTGACAATTTTTAAAAATATTATAAATAAATAAATTATAATAAAGTTCAAATTCCGTAATTAAAAATTAAAAAAAAAAAAAAAACTACAAATCAAAAAATGGTTAACTTTGTAAATGTAAATTAAATTTTTTACAAGTGGATTTTATATTTAAAAGGAAAATATTATTCCCGCTATTCTCGACTGGCTCTCCAGCGCTTTCACCTGGATGCGCAGACTTTGAAATTGTTTTTGAGGTTAAGTCTGGCGTTCTAACTGCTTTGTTGTTTGTGTATGAATATAAATATTAATTATATAAAACAATAGCGATTTTTTACAATAAAAGCTATTTAAAACTGATAATACTTTATATTTCATCAAAGGTAAGTACTTGATAAATACTTAATTAATAAATAGAAAAAAAAAAAAATTAAAATAAAAACATAATATTAAAGGTTAAGTATGCGGTGTTTAATAAATAAATTTTTCTAGGTGTTATTAAATATATAAAAATGTCATCAGGAGGTATGTTGTATGGTGGAGATGAAATAGGAGCGCTGGTATTTGATTTAGGACATCATTCACTGCGTGTTGGATATGCTCAAGAAGATACTCCGAAAGCCGAAATACCAGCGGTGGTTGGTATTGGGGAGGAAAATTGTAATAATACAGTAGGTACAACCAATATCGCAACTGGAACTAACAAAATTGAGCCGATGGACATTGATGATAAAAAACAGGATAATAATATCACACAGTCCAAGCCAAAATATTACATCGATACGACGATACTTCATGTACCGCGTCCAGGAATGGAGGTTGTTAGTTACATGAAGGAGGGTATGATTGAAGACTGGGACCATTTCGAAAAAGTACTAGACTATACTTACTCGAAAATAATTCAATCTGATGCTGAATTCCATCCGGTGCTATTTTCAGAGGCACCCTGGAATATCCGGAGCAAACGTGAAAAATTGACTGAAATAATGTTTGAAAAGTACAACGTACCGGCGTACTTTCTTGTCAAGAATGCTGTGCTTGCTGCATTTGCTAACGGACGTGCTACTGGTATAGTTGTTGACAGTGGTGCTACACATACATCAGCAGTACCAGTCCAAGATGGTTTTGTATTGACTCAAGCTATCGTTAAATCTCCGCTTGGCGGTGACTATATTACAATGCAGTGTCGACAGCTATTACAGGACAATGATATTGATTTATCCCCTGCCTACATGATTGGTAGTAAAGAAGTTGTCAAGGATCACGAGAAACCCCGTTGGGTGAAGAAAAAAGGTTTACCTGAAGTTACTAAATCTTGGCAGAATTACATGGTTAAAAAATTAGTTCAAGACTTTCAAGCTAGCTCGCTTCAAATTTCTGAAACTCCTTATGATGAAAAAATTGTATCCACTATTCCTGCTGTTCAGTATGAGTTTCCCACTGGTTATCACCAGGTAGATCTAAAATATTTTATTTCAATAACGGCTTAATTAACTAATTGTCATTTTTTACTAATTAAATTTTGGTTTTATTAGGACTTTGCTTCGGAACGTTTTAGAATACCTGAGGCACTTTTTGATCCAAGCATGGTACAAATGCGTGGTGGAATGGTGGGTAACACGATGCTTGGTGTTGGCCACATTGTAACGACGAGTGTTGGAATGTGTGATGTTGATGTCAGACCAGCACTTTATGGCAGTGTTGTAGTTACTGGTGGTAATTCATTTATACAAGTAAGTAAACAAAAAATTTCACTAATTTTCAAAATATTTTTCAAGTACTATATAAATTTTATCTTCTTCCACTTGAATTTTTTTTACTCACTTTTATATTTACAATGAAAAAAATTCCAAGTAAATTTTCTATAGATTATCAAAAAGATAATGTTTTTTTTAATTACTCATAACTTAAAAAAGGCCATTTGGCAGCCGAAATGGAAGTAGATTTCATAATAAATAGAAAAAAAACTACTAGGATTGTATAAAAAAAGAAAAAAAAAACCAGTGCAAGAGCAAATTTCATAATTAAGATGCAATTTACAGAAATATGAATAGTTATCGCATTCAAAAGTTATTGCAAGGAAAACCAAAAAAAGTTGAAATTTTCGAAATTTTTTGAAATTTTGAATCCGCTCGTATTTCTAAAGTAATCCGTATTTATAAATTATCCGTAGAATATGGACGCGAAATTTGATGGAGATCCGTTAAAAATTGTGAAAGTTAGAGTAGAGACAAGGCTCAGATCGACGAGCTGAGTAAGGATGTGCAAAAATTTTTTGAAAATTCTGACATGAGGACCAATGCAATAGTTAGATTTTTATGAAATCTACTAAAAAGAATAAACTAAATTTAATCAATTTTTTTTTTGTAAATTTTTATAATTTCATAAAAAAGAAATTGAAATAATTAATAAAAATATTTTTACCTGAATTTTTAAGTTAAAAATTCAATAATATTTTAAAAATTAAAAAAATAATTTATTCGTATTCTAAGTAACGCTTAATTGAAAGATAAAAGTTTAACGTTAACGTAGATTCTAATTTTTAAATTATTAAGCGCTCGTTTATTGATAAAGCACTTGTTTTATTTATTAAAGGGCTTCCCGGAACGTCTTAACAGAGATTTGTCGATGCGAATACCTTCAAGTATGAGATTAAAATTAATAAGTGCTAATGGATGTGCTGAAAGAAGATTTGGAGCGTGGATAGGTGGTTCCATACTCGCGTCAATTGGTACCTTCCAACAGATGTGGATTTCAAGTCAAGAATACGAAGAGAGTGGAAAAAGTCAAGTCGAACGAAAGTGTCCGTAATCGTATTTGATATTTATATTAACTGATACTTTTCTATCTATATATATATATATATATATATTATAATTAATATTACTATTAATTTTTTTTTTTGTAATGACGAAACCAATTTATGGTACAATTTTAATTTTTCTACAATACTGCCAAGGTTCACTAGAGCTACGACAAAAAATGTACACTACTTATTTTTCATTTGTAAACTTACATATAAAATAACGATATAAAGTATTATTGATTTTTTTATGGCTATTAGTATATATGAAAAGAGAATTTTAAAACTTGAATTGTATAATTTTCTTGAGTGTAATGTAGTAATACAGTTATTATCTTCTCTAGTATTCGAGGGTATTATTAAATCACCTGTGAATACTTCCGCATTTATTATCACCCCTCGGTTTTTATCTACATCAAAGAAAGACCGTGAGAACTTGGGCTATGTATTTTAATAATTCAAACAGATAATAGTTGCTGCAATTAAAGTAATTATTGTAGAAAAATTATTTTCTACCTTTGATCATTTGATTTCAACTGCCTGAAATAAATTATTCACAATAGTAGGGGAGGATTTGAACAAAGAATTCTAGCCTCAGAAAAAAATATAATTTTTTTTGAAGATCATTAGTTGAAGAAATGACTAGCAGTACACACATCGACAATTATATTATGATAAATCGTAAAATACTTAAACTTGTCGGACTTTATCCAGTTGAGGTGCCTAGATATATTTTTTGTATTAGTTGTTTATTGTTAATTATCATACCGGAAGTCTTTAGAGTTTTTTCAAATCAACAAGACTTGGATGTCATTCTCGAAACCAGGTAATTTAAAAACTTTAAATTCAATTTAGTAGTTGAAAAATTGAAAATGGTTTTTATTTTTAGTTCGGTACTGTCAACAATTCTTCTCGCTGTACTCAAATCGATCATTTGGATGACGTTCCGCCGTCAAGATACTACGATATTAATTAATTTTCTCTTCAAAGATTATTGGAACATCGTTGTCACTTCTTGTAGTTCAAATGATTTTCAATACGTAGATAAAAATGCCAAGTATTTTTTTTTTTTTTTTTTTTTTTTTTTTTTTTTCATTAATAGTTATTAAAATTAAACATAAAAAAAATATTTTTATACTGTTTAACTGATGAATTTTAATTGGCAGGATGGCTAAACGCGTTACTCTTGGTTACATTATCTTAATTGTAAATGCATTGTTGGTGTTTTATTTTTTACCATTACGCCACCGCATTCTAAAAGCGATTTCAAAAAATGATGAACAACTATCAACTTTAAACACAAGCTTAAATTTTCCATTCATTGCAGCGTATCCACAATTTTGTTACGAATCACCTTTTTTTGAAATTGTTTATCTTTCTCAAATGGTGGCGACTTCCATGTGTGGAATAGTTATTCTCGCGATGGATACCTTGATAGCTACAGCAATTTTTCATTCTTGCGGTCATTTCAGTGTCCTGTGCGCTAAAATGAAGCATATAAATTTTGAGAATAATCACTCAACTAATCACTTGATGGAAGTTATTAAACATCATCAATTAGCAATTAGGTAAAGTATTGAAGATAAATTTAAGTTAAAAATTAATCATAACATAGTAGTAATGATTATTTAGATTCTCTAATCACTTGGAGTATGCTTTTAATCCTTTAATGCTTTTTCAAGTTATTGCTAGTAGTGTTATTATTTGTCTCGTTGGATTTCAAGTAAATACCGTAAGTATTTTATTTAATGTTACAGAAGAAATATTATTATTTTATAAATTATTTTTTTGCAGACATTAAAATATGATCATAAAGATAAACTTGTTCAATATATAGCCTACTTGATGATGGCTTTGTTTCAATTACTTATCTTTTGTTGGCCTGGTGATAAATTAATTAATGATGTAAGATAAAATTATTAATTTTTAGATTATTTTTTTAACTCTGGAAATTTTATTTTCAATTATTAGGTAAATTTCTTACAAAATTTCAATTATCGTCATTCATTATTTTCTCCCAAATTTTTTAAAATTTATCTATATATTTTTTGTTACTTTAATTTCTTTTTTTAATGGTTGGCGTATATTTTAAAAAATCCGCAAGTAAAAAATTTACCTATCGAATTAAATTAAATTTTAGACAAAAGTTATTTATTTTTTAGAGTTTAAAGACGAATGAAGCGGTATACTCGAGTAACTGGTACAACTATCCCTTTCCTGAAGCAATAAAAACAGAGTTAATCCTAATAATGTTAAGATCTCAAAGACCAAGTTATTTATCGGCAGGAAAATTTCAATTTATGAGTCTAGAAAATTTCAGCACGGTATATAAAATATATTTAAAATACAAACAATATTACAACTAACAATTAATATGTTTATTATGTATACAGATATTGAGCACATCGTTGTCATACTTCATGCTCCTACGGAGTTTAGATCTATAGCTGAACAACCATAAAAATAACTTAAAGATATTCAACAACTTACAAGAATAAAATATTTTTGTTAATTAGCATAATTAAAAATCAGTTAAAAATAAATAAAAGACGAAAGTTAAAATTATATGAAAGGACTCCATCCTATGTACATTCGACAAAGATTATCAATATTTATTGCGTCCAAAATGACGTGATTAGTTTGGCCTTCAACACTTAAACTTACTGCCGCAGTTTCAATTTCTTTATAATCTTTATTTTTTGTTCCGCGTACTCTAACAAAACCCTTGAGCCTTAATTCGATGTCTTGGATGTTTTTTAATGCCTGAAAAATAAAAAATTAAATTATATAAACAATAATTAATAAAATAATTTTACATTTATATAATTATTACCTCTTCATTAGTTCTTTCACTTTCTTTATTAGATGAATTTCCATTAGTTATTTTCACCCAAGAAACCAACGGGTCATAAACAAATGGAGTAAGAACACTCATCAATGTACTCGTCTGCTGTCTGAGGATTCTCATTGTTATCTGACATGATCGTCTGAATGGTCCCTCATACTTCAATGGTCCCATAGCATCAACCATATTGTGGGTCAGCCTAAAAGGCACACACTCGGGAACGTCAAAACTCTCACCACGATTAAACAAGCAGTTGAAATCAACGTGAACACAGTCACCGCATTTTGAATCAAATAATATATTTTCGCCGTGTCGATCACCTAGACCCAGAGTGTATCCAACCATTGACATCACAGCCGTCGTTCTGATGTATGCATTGCGAGCTTCATACCAACCATAAGCATCAGGAAAATTAAGTCGAAACCACTCACCAAATATTGGTGGATGCTGGGGTAACATTTTCTTCAAGAATATATCACGTTTTTTTTCTAACGAACAATCTTTTGTACATTCCTTTAAAATTTTCTTCGTGTCTTCAGTGTTCATCATTCGGTAACCATGTTCTTTGTATAGTTGATGAACTATTGGTCGGAATCCAGCTAAATTAGTTATCCATTCAACAAGACCGCACGCTTCGTCGATCGGTATAACGCTGTACATTCTTATATATAGTCTTCTTTGCCGCGATTCGGGGTCTTTTTGTAAATAATTATTAACTATACTGTTGAATTCCATTAGACGGAAATCTTTTCTCAAGTCATCTTTAGGCTTACACATAAATGCATAACGTTTCCCGTCAGATCCAATCAGTGTAATTTTACGTGGTCGTGCTAATGAATGTAGAACATCAACTTTTTCTTCAACTGACCGCATGTAAACGGCATTATTGTTCTGCGGAAATGGATTGTAAGCCATTTCACTGTTATTAGTTGGCCGTACAGGTCGCTTAGATTGTCCAATTGATGAAGATGGTAAACGTAATTGAAAAAATAAACTTGTTGGCATTGATATAGGTCCAAAGTTCGGTGAAGCGAGCAATGATACTAAATTTTTAGATAAATTATTAATTGTCGTTTTTGAAATTTTTGAAGGCACACTTTTATTAGATATTTCCATAAAACACGCCCAGAGACGTTTAAAATCATCAAGATATTTTTTTATTTCTGATGTATTAAGTTTTGGATTACTGAGAATTTCTAGACAGCGTTTTTCACGAGCAGGATATGAGGAATTTATTACAGATGCCATCATCCAAAAGCAGTACTGAGGATAAGCTACGATTAGATCAGCCAAAATTTTGTTTATAACCGTCCGTATTGCAACTTCTGGATGGCAAATACGTGATATAAGTTGACTCAATGCCGTAAGCCATATAAATTTAGGGTAATGCTCAGCATATTTATTTATTATTTCATTAACTTTTCTCAGTTCATCAGGTTGGTTAGATTTCGCTTCAGGATTACCATTAGTGCGAGACGCAAAATTCATCCAAATAGTTAACATTCGGGGCATAGCTTGATGAATATATTTACAACCCAATGATAGTGCTTTGCCGTAACTATTTATTGTAAGTTGGTAGCAAACAAGTCCAAGACGGGTAAAACGTTCATCTTCGGTCATTCTTTCCAGTAATGAGTCATAATACTGAGCTTGGGCTAAATAACTTTTTTCCCAGAATTTCCAAACATCAACTGCTTCTTGATAATAAAGCCGATTTATTTGAGTACTTACATTAACCGTTTGATCATTGTACTGTGCGAATAGTAATTTAGCCTTGGCTAAATTTTTTCTTTCACGAGCCTCTTTATCAGAAATTGTCGATTTGACAACTGATTGTCGATAAACCTCAGTCGGTTTGTAACACTGTTTAAATGATCGATTCAGTGTATTAAATGCATCTTCCTGACAATCTTTTTGCCAATATAACTGCGCTTTTTCGATGTGTAATTCTTGCTGTGGACAATAATCGCTTGCTGATAAAATATACATATAAGCTTGTTGATAGAGTCCAGCTTTACGAGCTATTTTAGCGCTTTTCAGCCAAATCTTACCAATTTCTTCTTTCAAAGTCGATTTAGTGCCTTCATTTAATTTTTTCGTCAATTTATTATGATTAGGGGCAAATTCATCATTGCTGTTGAGTGTAAGTGCTAAATTCAAAGCAGCTCGTCGCATTCCCATCACAAATTCAACACCACGCGATGCACGGACTAGACTGCTACGTTTTTCCCACTCATCGAAAATAGTTGGCAAGCTGTTAATATCCTTGATCATAAGCTGCGTAGCTTTTTCAAATTCGTTTATCACATGAAGTTTCATAATGTGCGAGTAACTCTGCTGATAAGCGTCTTGATGCGAAGAAGCAAAACCAATCATTGAAATAAGCCGTTGTTTCAGCCCTGACAAATTTGGCTGCTTCGCTTGCCGTAAATCTACCATCAGCGTTCGATTAATGTAAGCTTTTCCGTCATCACTGCAGTCTAAGTTATTGTTTCTTCGATTAATCGTATTGTTGTCGTCACTGTCATCATTGAGATAAACAAAGTGTGCAAGCCGCCAAAATGGTTCTGAATCAGTAAGATGCGGTTCGAGTTCTGGTTTACTATTGAGAATACCGCTGGTGATATTGATAGCTGTAAACGGTTGCTCTAAACTTAAGTAGCACTTAATTATTCCCTTGATATACTTGGGTGCGGAGTTATGACGCTGAGTAAGCCGCTCGTAACAAGTAGCAGCGTCTTGCATTTTTCCTCCTACTTCGTGTGCTAAAACTAGTTGTTCGATTGTCGGTGAATGTTCGTGAGAAGCTAGTATACCAAATACACCATCAGGTTCTTCAAGCTGGGTATAAATTTTTGCTAGTAGATTCATCTCATGAGTCCATGACAATCCGTTGTCTTTATTAACAGCCATGTGACGTTCAAGATACATTAAAGCGCGATGATACTCACGAGATTCATAGCACCCTTCAGCTAATTGTAAATTGTCTAATCGGTTGATGAATTTTTCCACAGCTTGATATTTCGGTGTCTCTTTTTGCATTCGTCGGTTTTCCTGTAGCCAACGTCTCAGATGATCTAGCGTTGAAAAAATAACCTGGGAGCAACGTATACGCCTTGTTTCATTTGATGAAATACGCTGTGGATCATTTGATTCACATGCATGGTCGTTATTATTATTATTTATGTTTGAATTTAGATACTTAATGTCATCAAATAAATTTTTCGTTGGACGAAGTTTTTGTCGTTTGCACTCATCATTGTCCAGTGGATCACTTGTTACGCTAATTACGGACGATATTTCACGTATCAATCCATCACATTCATTCTCATTGCCTTGGATCACCGTCAATGTAACTAGCTGCGGTATACAAAAGATTGTAGTTTCAAGATCACGCTTAAATGCCGGCCAACAGGCATTTAGCATTGATCTGATTTTTTCATAGTTTTCATCACCGTTATTTCTGTCGCTTTTTAATGAAGATATCATACGACAAACCCAATTGCAAACCCACAATTCAAATGTTTGTGCCGCCTCAGTACCATAAATCGGATAGTTAATATTATTAGTGTCTGTTGAAGATAACACAGTGTAATGTGAAGTGAGCATTGGGAATATTATTTGCCGTGTTAATGCCGGGAATGATGCCCATAATGTACTATTGGCACCACCTTTTGGCTTAATCTCCCATATTTTTAAAATTTCTTGAATTGCCAATGAAAAACAGTCAACATTTCTTGTAGTATTTTGTTCATTAAATGCACGTACCAATTCATTAAGAAGAGCACAAGCAAATTCGGCATTAATTTCAGGCATAAATTTACTATCACCGCGTGATATTATTCTTCTTGGCAGAAGATTGGGTTCAATTGCACCCAATTCACCAAGACACTCACCAGACCAGTGTCGTATTTCCTGTCGTAAAAACTGCTGATTATTTTCTGTAGCCGCATCTTGTTGTCGACATCCAGCTAATAGTGCGTCCAGCAAATTGACAATTGCGGGATGAACATGGCTCGTTGCATCGTGATTCAAAATCATGTCGTTCAATTCAGCACGGTGTTGCTGGAGAAAGTTCTTCAAGTGTATCAATGCCTTCAGTCTTACTTCATCAGTTTCGTGGAGAATTCGTCGTTGCCAAATTTGTAAATTTATTACAAAATCACGATGAGTTCTTTTTATTTTAGGTTTTATTGTGTTCAAAATTTCAGTCTTGATATTTGGAAGATCATTAAAAAAAAATAATTCCTGTATGTCTTTTGATACTGCTGTATAATTGGTTATAAGAATGTATTCCAGCATTTTATTAATTTGTTCAGGATAGACTTCAAGTAATGGAACTAGAGATATACATATTGTCGGCAAAAGTGGTCCAAGTTCATTAAGCGCAATATTATGAATGAATGCATCCCAAGCGTGACACGCTAATTTTCGTAAATCTGGATGCTTTGAAAAATTCCGCAATGCAGCTCTTAGCATTGCTAGTATTTTATGTTTCAATTGATTTATGTAATTAACGCCCATAAATTGAATTAATGCACCTAATGATCCGAGCGCACTACGTTGTATATACAAATCCGACTTATCTGGATTTAAATTTCC